TCAAGCCTGGGTCATCTTCTCCGGGTCCACAGTCCATGCCACGAGCAAAACCGTCAGGATGAAGTCCTCGGGGTGGTTTCGTAGGCTTTATCTAGGGCCAGGGTCTATCGGGCTCCGGGATTAGGGTTTACAGGGGTTTTTAAGGTTTGTAAAGGGTTTACATAGCCGGGTTGGGGTGTGTCGGGGATGGTCTCCTTCGGTGCTTGCAGTTGCAGCAGCCGCCAGCAAAGGACATTCAAATCCAGCATCGTGGAGAATGTGCCGGGCTACTCGAGACGAGGATCTTATTCCGGGTCTTCATGGACAGTTTAAGGTTCTACAAGGGGTTTATTCCTAAGGTTTGGGGTTCAGCCTATATGCGAAGTCCAGTCTTCATTGCTAGCTGCTAGACATCGATACACAGTGTCACGGTTTGCTGGTGTTACTGTTACTGTACCCAATCTACTAAGATACCTCGAACAAGCTTGCAAAAGGCTGCACAGATCGATCGGTTTGAAGCGGGCAGTGCACTCGGGCACTGCATTTCAAGTCCTGCATGCACCGGATGCAACACAAGCCGGGTTGACGGCCTGTCGCATCTCGCTTCTGAGCCAGACGGGCCTTCCAGAGGACGTTGCGCGGCAAGAGCGGCATGAGTGGTCGGACCTGGGCGACAAATTATTTCTATATGCAACGATGGGTGTAGATTTTGAAAGCTCGTTGGGATTCTCCATTGGGGATTTCAGGATTGACACTGAAGCAAGCAGTGAGTACCGCTATCATGGACAACACGAGACTGAGCAGACCCTCATAAAGCTGCTGTTGCTGAACCGGGGCAATCTGAGGCTTTTCTTCCCTTCATGAAGCGGCGGCGCAGCGCACGACGATATGCAGATCAGATGCACCGAGGACCCGGTCTGGATCGATAAGGCTAAAACCGCATTTGGGAAGATTGGTCATTGTACACTGATAGAGCAGGGTTCGGGTCTTTCAAGTAGGAGGCAGCTTTTCTACACATATCATTCAGACGCAGTGTCCTTGGAGCACATGATCTCGGTGAAGCAGAGCTAGCTAGCCGAGATTTATGCACGACTCAATCTGTCGGACCTTCACATCATTTTCAGGGTCTGCACGAAATTAATGTTAAGTCCATTAAATCAACCCCCAGACTGCCAGATATACATACATATTTCCGCTGAAGGTCACCGGGATCGGAACCATCACCCAAGCGATGCTGCACTAAGGCCATGTGCACAACACATCGACCTCCCTCCACAAGTCCGTCTGAACTTGTACACCCGTCGATGCAAAGCACGAGCAGCCAAGCAGCATTCTGCTACCCGGTAAATCAGATTATGACGTGTCAACGTCCAGGTTCTAGCTCATGCGATTGCGGAGATCACAGCTTTTTTCAGGAACTCCTTCATCTCAAAAATGTCGTAACTCTCAGTCATGGCCGTGGCGGTGTCTTCGACATAACCGTCCTTGATCAAGCCTTCGATGTATGCTGCATACAACGAGGCTGCCTTGCCCAAAGCCGCCATCTTGGCAGCCCAAGTTGCCTCAATCTTCCCAATTGAGACCTGGCCTATCTCAATGCCAGTCGTTCTGTGCAAGAGGCCCACAGCTGGCCGCGTCCAGTACATGGTCATACCAAACAATTGCGAGTCATCCACCCGGGCCTTCAGATCCGCTTTGAACTGCGAGCAGAGCATTCCGTCCTTGAAGTCCGCCTCCTGGGTGAAGTCGGCAATGATCTTCGTGACCTCGTCCTGGCTGTCCACGTACAGGTACCACCAAAGTCCGTCCTCCAAGCTGAGAGCTCTGCTATCTTCGCACGGCGGAGCCCTTCTGCCCCTACAGGTTGTCTTGCCCGGCGGAGGATCCCGCTTTGGCTTTGCCCCACACTTCGCCTTCGGCTTTGCTTTCGCCTTCGGCTTACCGTCACCCTTGGCCGTCTTGGCTTTCGCCTTGGCTTTCGCCTTCGCTTTCGCCTTCGCTTTGGCTTTCGGCGCACACTTCGCCTTTGCCCCACACTTCGCCTTCGCCTTTGCCTTTGCTTTTCCCTTTCCTTTGCCTTTCGGCTTCGGCGCCGACTCCGGCACCGCCTCTGCCTCCGCCTCCTCAGCTTCTGGCTCTTCGTCCTTCTCCGCCACCTCGCCACGAGAAGAGCTGCGCAGCAATCGTCGTCGCCGTTTGGACGGCGAAAGCGCGGCACACTTCGAATGCCCATTGCCCTTCTTGGCGGCACGCTTCTTCTTGGTGCTCCGCCGCCCAGGTCGCCGCCCGTCTTTCTGGTTAGACTTCAATCGAAACTGGTCCCTCTTGGTCAGCGGAGGAATGTCCACCTAGGGGTTGCGAGAAAAGAATGGATTCCCAAAATAGCCTTATAGATTTAAGTGCTCTCAGAAATATCAGGCACAAACCTTTCTTAAGATAGGGTATGCTGGATTGGATGAGTCTTGCTTCGGATAGCTTGGGCTTGTGTGGATTGTAGGACAAACCAGGCAACCCTAGAAAAAAACCGTGAACCTTTCACTATATATATAGCAGAATCACACGACCAACTCTTATGTACTCTGTAGGAATCTGGCCTCTTCGTTGCTCTCCGTAAACTCGGCAGGAGCTTTCGCCGCTGCTTCCAGCGAGTCTTCTGGGGTAGGCTCGGAAGGGATGTTCTGGAGCGAAGCTTCCATGACGTTCCAAGGTTGCGTATCATCGGAACCAGGATTCGAACTGAAGGAAGAGTGTCCTTAGCAGAGGGATCGGGTGGGTGCTTCCTAGATCGATGCAGTATCTCAATGAATGCTCGTAAGAAAATGCCGGCCAAAATTCCGCTGGTTGGTGGAGCCTCCAAAGGCTCGGGCGTCGGAGGCGGTGAAGTCTTCCTAAGGAAACCCAGATCGACCCCGCCATCATACCGAGAGCATCTCAAGTCAAATCAACACTTGATTTCCGGACACTAGCAGAGACAAGGCTCATAGAAGCTTGTGCAAGCTTCTGCTTCAGCAAAGCAACCCTGGCCTCCATCGCAGCACGATCTGCAGCAGAAAGCCGAATGCCTGAATGGAATTTCGGATCATTTGTTTAATGCTCAACTACAAGAACCCCCAATCATAATACCCTGCAGTGGTAGCTCCTGCGCGTGGAGGTCCGGATGGGGGCGTTGGCGTGAAAGCTGGCTTGCTCTTCAGCTGGCCAATAGGAGTGCATGGGGGCGAGCTAAGCGCCTTTCCAGGGCAGGAATAAATTCGGGTTATACAAGCGCTTTTACTAGGATTGGTTAGGATTGCCAAATACCGGGCCTCAGATGTTGCCGAGAAAGCCCTTTTAAGAGTAGCGGCTGGAGGCCCTGAGGATTCCGGTGTCGTGATAGCTGGAGCCAAAAGCCTTGAAGATTCCGGCGTCGTGGTAGCAGCTAGGGTCAAGGGCCTCGAGGATTCCGGTGTCGTCGTAGCTGGGGCTATGGGCCTTGAGGATTCCGGTGTCGTGGTAGCTGGAGCTAAAGGCGTTGAGGATTCCGGCGTCGGGGTAGCAGCTGGGGCCAAGGGCCTTGAGGATTCCGTTGTCGTAGCTGGGGCTAAGGGCCTTGAGGATTCAGGCGTCGTGGCAGAAGCTGGTGTCAAGGGAATTGAGGATTCCGGTGTCGTACTAGCTGGGGCTACCAACCTCAAAGTAGATCTCACCGGTGGATTGTCATTGGGAGCAACTTCAGGGCTTATGGATGACGATGCAGGGCCGGTCGTTTCGGGGTTGGCATCTTCATCGTCGTAAGCATCCTCGTCCTCGCCGTCTTCCTGCGAAGCGGGTCTGATTAGGGTTTATAAAGGGTTTAGGGTTTTATAGGGTTTAAGGTCAGGAATATCTGGCACATATAATCAACGAACCCAGCATGATTGTGTATATACAGTCCTCGCCGTCGTAGGATGCTGCACTCCGATTCCGCATAGAATCCACAATCTCCTGGATAGAACTGTGTAGATTACTTCGTTGTCGATAAAAAAACACTCAATTCCGAAACGTCCTGAAGCCCGGGCTCCAATGCCAAGCACAGCTCCTGAAAGTCTTCGTCCTGGGTTCGGCACGAGAAAAGAGGGTTTCTTGAGCTCTATACACAAGAAAGACGTCAGAGGTTTCTTTGATTTCTTTGGATTATTTGTTGATAATTCGGCCAAGTTTCTAGGCTGACCTCATGTCTGCGCACTTTAGCCTTGACATGGGAGAGCAGCTTCCTTATGTGAATTGCGTCGCCAGCGACAGAAGCCTGAACTTCGTCACCAACTCGGTTGTTGGATCGGTAAATGATCTGCATCTCGTTACGCAAATCACCCAAGGAAGGGAGCTTGCGCTCCGCCGAAGAAGCCATGCCCATCAATATGGGCTCCAGCACGGATCGATTGAGCTTGCAGACATGATTGTCACATGAAAGCCCCGACTTTTCATGTAGGAGCATCCCGCCCCCCCGCAGCCGGGTTCGGATTGACATGTCACCATCCCATGCCATATGCATGTCGGTGATATCCAATCCTTTTTCGTTTGCCTCGCCTGCAAAAGCCTTCGCCTTGGCCTTCGGAGCCATGGCAAAAACCCCCAGCCCTGTAAAGCCAGACTTTGAGTGCTAAAAGCTACAACGGTTGATGGACGTTCACAATGGATCTCGCCGCATGGTCTGACCAACAAATCCCTGTCAGGAGCTGGAGCTCTGAGGACTCGGCAAGTCAGGTCGATCAGGAAAAAAGTCGCGCCATCCAAGGAGTCGGCAGGCTTATAGGCTTATCGAGGGATGTTCAGGATTTGGGGATATTAGACCCAGCTGTGTTCGCTAAGAATATAGACCCGTTGGGTTGAATATCTGAAGCTTCTCAAATCAATCTGAATCATGATGGGCCCTCGTCCTGCAGCCGCCCACAGCGGTCTCACGGCAAGGACGTGCATTCAGCACGATCACAAACAACCCCTCTCAATGCAACGATCTTTCAGAATGAGCCCCAAACCCGAGGTTTGAAGATCACACACGGGGTCTACAGTATAAGCCATCCCAAACCCCGGGTGCTTTCGCAGAACCGCTTATTTAGTCGGCGTGCGAGGGGCAAGGTATATATATATATATAATATGTTTCCAACAGCCGGGCCTCAGCGTCGGCTGCTAGCTCACCTACAAGTTCCTGCGTGCCCGTCTTGGACAGCAAAAACACGATGGTGATGACCAGAATGCCGGCCACAAAGTTGGACAAGCAGGCTGTCAGGAACCTCAGAATCTTCTGTTTCTCCTTGATACTAGTATATACTGGCTGAGTTTGGAGGGAACACTTCTTGCATAATCCGGCCCTCTCGACTTTGCACAGTGCAAGTGCCTCATGAAAGCTCTCTGTGACGACTTCGCAGGGTGTATGGTTGGCGCTTTGCCAAACGCGGAACGACGAAGAGCTGGACCTGTGCGGCCAAGTTGCGGATACGGGAAGGCCAGCTCCTGAAACTGTGCAGCATCCGCTGTGGAGCTTCATGATTCGAACTTTAACCTATTCATCTTGAGAAGCTGTATCTTTGTGCTACCAATCTGGCATATACGACAAGTCTGCAGCAGCATGCGAAGGCCACGAACCAGCGAACCAACAACCAAAGCAAATTCAGATCTTGCAGGAAACTATTTCAGCCATCTCAACCAGCACAGGAACCACCAGGATGAGCCACATGCGGCTGCAGCGAATCCAGACGGACATCGCGCGACATCACGAAGCGAATCGTGCCGCAGACACCACAACCGCAGCGAGCCGCATCGAAACGCAGAGCCAAGAAGTTCATGACGACCCGAATCAAAGCACAGCCCAAGTTGTCGGACTGCTCTTGGATCTTCCTGCGCAGGCCACTTTGCTCTTCAAGCTATTGTCGTGTCGAAAATCACGCCTCTTCGGAAGGACAACTGTCGGCCTTCACCAAAGGCACGGCGACCGAGCAACTTCGGCTTGCTTCGCTTGAGTGCCCAAAGTGTTGGGAGGACGACTTCGATTGCGGGACGGGTGAGTAGTGGAGCCAATCTCACGGGAATGGGGATGGGCATTGGTCAAGCAGACACAGGCGATGTAATGATGTCTATGCTACTGTCATGTTTCGCCACGAAGTTTGCTTTGCATGATCCTCGTCAGTAGTGAGGTTCTGCAAGCAGAATGCGCCAATGAAGTCACCTCAGGCGAGCAAACTTTGGGACTGAAGTGCAAAGGTGCGGCACCTATCACCTCTTGGACCTTGGGCTCCCTGCTGATGAAGACCACAAAGACCCAAAAGACAACTTCGACGGAGCGCTGCCAGCTGGATTCCAGAAACCTAAACCCAAACAAGCAAAGGCAAAGCCAGGTGCCGCCTGCCGATTGAGTCCCTTCAGGGCCCCGGCTGCTTACTTGCACTCTGTATCTTGTAACTGAGCCGCGCTGCCCTCAGCTCTCGATTACATGCAATGCGATGTGACTCGTGACTGCCAGTCCAAGCCAAGTGCTGCGAACGTCCGGTGCTGGAGCCTTGCAGTCTTGCATGCTGCACCACGGAACGTCGTTGACGCGCTTTGACGACTAGGCCTCTGCTGTGACCGCTGCGCATATCCGCTGATGCTACTGACGTTCCGGGCACGGTCAGCTTTGGAACTGAGTCAGGCGACACGGGTAATGCTTTCAAAGGAAATGTATTTGTGGAGGCGGAGGGGGGAGCAGGTGGTGCAAGCAGGACTAAAATCTTGACAATGCAATCAAGCGCATCACGTGCCGGTCTGGGCATCGGAGGTGATGAGATGGATGAGCCCCTGCTCAGGTGAATATTGAAGTGCTGGCAAATCAATTCCTGTGCCCCAAAACAACGGGCCAGACATACGCAGAAGATGCACCGCTGTCACCTGGGAACCGACTCATCGGGGCAAGCCTTTGTTGAACCAATCTGAGGCGGGGGCTGATCATGTCGCAGACGTTGGAGGATTTGCTGTTGATGCTGTCTCCCGATGTTTGCCTGCATTCGCCGTTTTCGAGTCTTCGGCGATTCCCTCAGCATGCTCAGATATTGCTCAGCTAGTCAACTAGTCACTTCTTGGTGAGTAGGCCCACCTGCCAGACGCCCAGCCATGCTTTGCGGCCTGCCCGGACGATTTGCGCTTGGCCACTTCGGACTTGTAGCCTCAGCAACACATTGCAGCAGCTTGACGAGTGCTTCGGAACATACGATTTCCGAGCATATCCCAAGTTGCACACAGTACTGGCACACGTAGAAGCCTTGGCCCAGCACATTGATCAAGGTGCGGCTGAAGTCTCAAGCAAAGCACTGAGCGCAAGGCGGCACTTATCCTGATGGGTGACTGCTATGCAGAGTCTCTGACTGTGTAGAGTGCATCTGTTTGCATGTGTGAGATTGAGAGCTGAAACCACAATTGATGCCAAGCATGCTTTCTGTAGCTGAGTTAGTGTCCGGACAGCTGTAGTGCACTTCATGCCGGTCAATCTCGTTCCGGCAGTAGCTGCACTCACGAACGTGAATGTGGCCTCTAGCAGGGTCACATATGTCGATATGCCGAATCCTGTCAACGACTGGGCTCCTGACCTTGCCAGGGCTTCAGCTTCTTCACCTTCTCAACCTCAGAGCAGTGCCAAAATCTACCAAGGCTTTAAACAAGGCCGCAAAAACGAGCGCCTTCTGCCCTTCCGATTCCGAGCACGGGGCGATGTGACCGGCTCTGCACCTGCGAAAACTGCCAAGGGATGCAAACCCCAAAGGGAGCTCTCTGCTCGGCCTCAGCATCCCCCTGGGGCTGCGAAGCAGGCTCAGCAATCCAGAAGGTGCAAACTTGATTCTCCGCGCTGTGGTCTGAGATCTGCTGACATCTGCTGACTGGGGACTAGGGAAGATTGAGGAAAGTCTTTGCTATGTTGCTTTGTGCGAAAGTCTCGTGGTCCTGCGTGTTCTGCAGCTTGACAGGCTCGCGCCCAAGAAGCTGCGTGCAGCAGACCCTCAGATGCTCCAGGTACAGCACACGAGACTCGGGACACCAGATCGCACATGCGACTATTTTGCTGCCCGCTGAAGATCGTGCGGCAAGACAACCTGAACAGAAAGCAGTTTACAAGCTCCACACGCGCTCATCGTAAGTTCTGGCCTCTGCCAGCAGAGAGCTCCTGCAATGCAGATCTGCTTCACCGCAGAGGACCAGTGAAACCAAGATCGAAACATTAACCTGGCCTCGCGCAGCAGAATGAGGTCGTAAAACGCTGCTGCTCGCCTGAAAAGTTGCTTCGGATTTCGGCGCTGAGTTTCGCACTGCAGTGTCATGCAAGACCGCGTCAGCGCTGTCGCGAGAAAGGCTTACACCTCAGGGCGCTGCATGGCCGTCAGCGCTGTCGCTTCATCGTCCATCTGGGTCAGCTGTGCCAGGCTATCCCCAAACCAGGCATCGCTGGCATCGCTTCCGACACGGGAGGCGTGCTGCCTGTAAAGCAATAGCTCCTTCTCCAAACTGCTGACCTGCAGTTCCAATGCGTCGTTGACCTTCTGCGCAGCATCACATTTGCGACGCAGCGTAAAGTTTTCTGTAGTGGCCTGCCCCAGGCTGGCAACGGCCTCGGAAAGCCGCTCAGCCAGTTCTTCCTTGCTGATGCCGAGAGTTTCGGCACCTTCGGTGCTCCTTTGATCGGAGCTCCGGGGAGGCTCCGGTCCTGGCCCGGCGGGCCCAGGAACTTGCTCCCGGCTCGGGCTCGACAGGAGAGGCGTAGCTTTGCCTCGCGGTGTCGCGACTTTTCTCTGATTCTCTTGCGAATTCATGCCCAGAAAACCCACAGGATGACCCACGTGGCCCGATGGTGGCACATGCTGAGAATTGGCAACGGACGGAGCGCTCCATTCGTCGGGGGCGGCTTCCGAAGCAACTTCAAGCGTATCAGCATTCGGGAACTCGCCGCCATGAAGAACTTGTTGCGGTATCGGCTTTCCGGTCAGGTGGATGATGTACTTCTGGAAAATTTCAAGCTGACGCTTCAACCTCTGAACCTCTTGCTGGAGCTGCTTGATGAGCAAAGTGGTGGGATCCAAGTTGACCACGGGACGATTTCGTATTTTGCCGGCTGTGCAGGCATACTGCAAAGTGGACAAATTTTCCTCAACGCTAGAATCCAGGATGGACAAGCAAGCCACCATGAGAGTGTAGCCAGAACCACCCAAGGCATCCCGTAGCAGAATGGTAAGCTTGGATTCACGATACGGGATCAGCGCAAGATGCGCCTGCCTGGTCTGGTGCTTGGCCAAAGCCGCGATTACTTTGCGCAGCACGAACAGCGACTGATTGATGCTTGCACTCTCCTGTAGCGTGCGGCCGCTGGCACCTGTGCTGTTTGTTGTTTGCAGACAGACAGACAGCCAGACATACACAGAGAGAGGAGGGCTATGTATACACATATGTATATAAACAATATAATAAAATAGAACGTGCTGCAATGTAATACAACATAATATACATCTACATGCATACACACACACACATACATGTACATGTAGAGGTACTAGGTAATATATAGGTGTAGGTAGCATGTGTGTATGCATGTACATGTATGTATATCTTTATCTTTATCTCTACCCTCATCTATATCTATATACATATATATACACACACATGAGATTCAAGATAGAAACCAAGTCAAGCAAGGGATACTCCAGTGAGCCTGTGTCTGCCTGCCGTTCGGAACCGGCCAAGTCCACCAGTGTCAACTTGGATGACTGATCGACAGAATGGTCGGTTCTCCTTGGCTCTGGCACGACTTAAAATTTCACCATCTCGGAGGAATGACTGGCAGGCTCACGACTCTCTCACACTTTTTTGCGCATCGACAAGTAGGCGGGTGCAAACAGTCGGGATATTGGCCAAGACTGCTTGGGACCGGTTGAAGTAGGTAGTGTGACAAGCCGGAAAACAGCGGGCGTCGAGTCGTACAGTGAGACGATAGCCACCTCCGACCTCCGAGTCAGCCGGTTCTTAGCAGTGGGCAGTCGTGTCTTCTTGTGTCAACTGTGGATCGAAAGCGTACAGGGGTCTCTTGCTTAACCCCGTGGCTGCCCCTGGGAATTTCATTGGAGAAATTTCGGAAACATTTTACATGCTGATTCGTTTCATATTGTTTCGCTCCTGACCAAGCACAGTATTGCGGATTGATGTCTGCGAACAACTAAGTGGAACACCGCTCCAGGGTCATCATCAGCACCGAGTGGGATCGACTGCTCGCCTGCATGCGAAGAAATTCTAAATTCCCCGCTGAACAGCAGTGCAGAAGCAGTTGTGGGAGTATGCTTAAGCCCTGTGAGTCATCTTCTGCTGGCCTGATTCATCTGATGACTCGCGACAGTCCGATTTTTCACGCCTGCCTGAGAGGATTGGGGCAAAAGTCTTCGGTGCAACGAGATGCTCCGAAGGCAATATCACCTTGTAGTGGTTCACAGCTTCAGCAGCAGTCCTCAATCCATCTCAATCTCACACGGGCACAGCTCCGCAAAACACGGATTACAAGCGCCTGCATTCAAAAACAAAAAGGTTCTCCACGGTGACGGAAGCTTCGCCTCAGCTGCTTTCAGGAATTGTTCTGTCAAACCTGGTACAGAAGCGGTCCAAGGAACGGGGATTCCAGCGAAGCCGCAGTCCTCCGCCTTGACCAAACTTCGTCAGGTGGACCGGGTTCAAGAGGTCAAAGATACGCCTCAGAACGATGCAGACCTCCTGGTATAGCTGTTTGGTCATATGGCTGTGCATGCAGGGAGCTCGTTGTATATCTGTAGAAACGAGAGGCGCACAGTGAAGACACTGTCGCCTCAGGCTGGACATCAACATGCGGGAATGGGAAGAACAAGATAAAAGCCATCAAGACTCGACCTAAACATCCGACATGCTGGGCTTGTTGCCAGTGGTTGCTCTTCGGTCAATCCGGTCAAACAGACCTGCTCCGAGGAGGACATGGGATCTCATACGTCTAGCATTATCCTAGCTTTTATGGTGTAAAACCTGCGAAACCCGTGAAAGCGTGAGTGGATGCTGCGTGGAGCACGTGGGATCTCACATGTTTACCGTTTTCCCAGCTTTTATCGTGCAAAACTTGCGAAACCCGTGAAAGCGTGAGTGGATGCTCCATGGAGGACGTGGGATCTCACATGTTTAGCGTTTTCCCAGCTGTCACGATGTACAACCTCTCGTTCGAGGCACGCTTACACGCAGCCTCTGCATCGCTACACACTGCTCGGTCACGCAGCTTTGCAACTCGTAGCTCTTCCTTGTTCTCGCATTCCATCACAAGCAGCATCCGACATGATTACACGCCGCAGACCTTGAAAATGACAAAATGCCTTTGTAACTTCACATCGTTGAAATGTAGCTGTGTCTCGTGCCAGCAAGCGAAAACTATGAACATCAAGAAACAGTAATGCCAAAATCAAGATCTGCAACTATGAATATCAAGCTGCCTTTGATGGCCCGTGGGACGATTCCCAGATTCTCGGGCGAGGTAGACTCTGCCCTCACCTCAAACTGCTCGGCCATGCATCACCAGCAAAATTCAGCAAGCTCCCAGCCTGTGGCGCTTTGGCCACTGTGCCCGGCTGGTAGGAAAACCTCAGTGTGAGGGAAACAGGCCCCAGGCCCTTCTCGAAGCTCGATAGACTCCGATAGACTGTGCTGGCAGCCCCTCCATTGTGAAAGTCTTGCCGCTGCCGGTCTGACCTTGAGGGACCCTGTTTGGCACTAGCACAAAAGCGAGTTGAGCATCAGCCGACCGTAAGCAAAGACGGTGCTGTGGTAGCCGTCCATGAGTGCATCCAGCAGCTCATCCAGCCCAGCATCCTTGAACACCTCCATCAAGCGACATTTTTCTCTCACCTGCCCTCCGCCCCTTTCATGCCTTTCTAGGGCCTCTTCCTGAGGTGTCGAAGGTGGAAAAACTCTGTCCTTCAGCGCATCGTGCAGTGGTGAAGCGGCAAAGCCTTCGTATGCGAATTGCTTAACGTGGATACACGGCTCAGCCCGGCACAAACTGGAAGGCCCTCTGCGTTTCATGGCGGCCTTCAAGACTTATAATCGGCTTCGAACCCCCCATTACATAGTGTGGCCGGACCCACAAACTAACAATCCTCCGGGAGTGAAGGTCGCCGCCCCCGTTGTCGAGCAGCGACAGGCTCCATCGATAAGAAGGAACATATGGCAGAGAATGTCTCGCGGGGCGGGCACTCCGAAGCCGCCCCATGCGGGCAGGACTAGGGCGCAAACAGACACGTAAGAAACCACGAAGGCCTGCAATAGAAACCAAACGTAGTCAAGCAGACTTGAGCAGCACGGTAGCATTTCTTGTTGAACTTCCCCGATATCATTCCTTTCACTGTCTGTCTAATCCTGTTTTTCGTCTTGATGTCTTGACGGAAACTTCTGCCCTCAGATCCGCCTCCCTGGATGTGGACGCTTCTCGGCGCGCTGCCCTGGCGCGAGAAAACCGTGAGACCGTGAGCCTCGCTGATCACTCTCAGAACCCCAAAATCTCCTCGTCCCACTTGATTCGTCCGGTTGGCCCCTCCTGCGCCACTCTGGGCCAACTCAAAGGCTCGGCTCATGTACCACCCGTGCACCGCAGGCAGACATCGTTCACCAAAGGCACCGGCCTCTCCGGGCAGCACTGGCCTGCGAGGCGTATCGGATGCAAGAACGCTTAACTTCCTCAACTTGCCAAATCAAGTTGGCAGCAAGAGCTCATTTTCTCATGGCCCTCAAAGGGTGATGTGATCAGCAGTGTGCCAATATGCGTCAATGCAACAGTTCCAGCCTGAAGCGGACGCACACGCGCACTTTGGCCAGCGAGCCCTCCTCTTCCGGTAGCACTACATCTGTTCCTGTTCAAGAGCAGCGAGAAACGGGGAATGCCCGCACTCCGTGCTGACGGCACCTTCGGAGTCCATGTGACTGCGAGCTCCACATGAGGTGATTTGATAGATATCGGCTGTGCAAGTTTCGATCTTTTGAGAAGTTGTGCAAGATGTGCAAGCACCTCTGGTCAACGTATGCCGGGTTCAAACATCACTGTTCTGTATTAGCATGCAGCTATGTTTGTGGACACTGTCGGCCAATTGACTACCTTGCCCTTGACAGGCTCACAAGCGACGTTGTACCACCATCGAAACAAGGGATGTCAACTGCCATGGCTTGAAACGTCATATTCTGGCGGTATAGTCCGAAAGCAAGAACCAAGAATGAGCCTGCCATCTTTCAACAACCTGTGTCCGAAATCACACAGGTGCCAATGCTTGGTTTCTCCCTTGCAATTTTGTGAAGATGCTGCCGCTGTGGCCAATGTAGCTCCATCGCAGCTTTGCCTTGGCACAGCCCGCTTTCCGGGTTCAACTACATTTTCCTGGCTGTGGATGATTGTGCCCCTAAGCGCCCTGCAAACCAGGCTCACAAAAAAGAAAAGCGATTGCCGTAGCAACGCTGCTCGACCTTTCCACAAGGCAGAATCCAGCACCATGGCAGGCGAACGGACTCAGTGTCTGTGCTTCAGCCACCGGCTCTACTAGCGGCAGCGTTGATTCGGCTGCATGTTGCAAGGCCGCGTGGGGCTGCTGGCCTTCGCAGGTCATTCCTCGGGATCGACAAGAAGCGCTTTGGACGAGCCAGTAGGGATGCAGCCGAGAACGGCACTCGGCACTCCCCAGTTGTCCAAGCTCCTCAGAAGTCGGTCCTGGTACCATTCGGGGAGGCCCCTCTCCTGCACGAAAGGGGCTCTGAAAAATGTCTCAACATCGATTGAGCAGCCGCCGCGCCGCGCCGGGCCTTGGCACCGCAAACCACCAACTTCGCATAGCGAGTGCTCGGAGCTCCTGTGGAGGTCTCCGCGGCTCTCACGCGCACAGCGCTCATGTCGAAGTCCTCTTCAGCAGTGACGACCCCTCCCTGTTTTGCACGGGGCCAGTACCCGAACCATGTGCTCATTAGACAGGTCGCTGTGAATTTACTGGGCAGCATGCATGATAAGATAAAAAACTACCCGAAGCTGGTCCGATTCGGAAGACTCCTCTCAGATATTCATGAAGATCTCCCGCGCAGTGTCTTCAGCCCAGCCGACTCGTAATAAAAAGGGCCCTGGCACCACTCGTTGCCGCGTGGATAAACCGGTCCGTAGAGCTCTTCTGCAGCAATGGCGAGTTGCATTCGCTTCATGCGCTCGTCACGCAAGGCCGCCGGGCGGGAGAACTTTGCCCCTTGCTTCACGAAATCAGGCCATCCGCCCTGGCTGTAGCGTGCATGCAGCAATTTCGTCGTGGCAGCCTCATACGACTGAGATGCTCCTAACAACTGGCGCACTCGCCGCACCACGCGCTCTTCTCTACTTGGCAAGGTGACATTCTGGTCAGTCACACACTTCTGGATTAATCGCTCTGACTTGACCAGAAAGCCTTCGGATGCGACATGAAGACCGGCATCCTGTGCATCTTGAAGACTTAGAGTGCGAAAAGATACTTCGTTGCTCCAATCCGAAACCCAGCTTTTGTGAAGCCCTACAGCCCGAACTCTGGCCCGATGCCAGCGCAGAGGTTCCAGCCGTAGAAACTGGAAGGACCTCGCGCTTCCACCACCGGGAGCAGCAAAGGTTCCAAGCCGCTGTAACGGATCTCCGTCAGTTTCGACCGCAGTGCGGGTCTTGCGTGGTTTACGATTTCCGTAGCCAAATAATGCGACTTCAAAAAAGGCTGCGCTGGCCTCCGCCCTGCCAAGCAATTCCCACGAAACATCTGCCAAATTACAGCCGACGTGGTCCACAAAAAGCCGCGGTGCATTCTGGTTCTGAGCATGTTGAAGAATTGCCGCACATGGGCGAGTGCGGCGCCAGCTGCGGAGGAGACGCTGTAGGCGTTCTTGAACGACTCTGTCGCTGTGCCGACTCGATCCCGCGAGACGGTAAATTGCTCGGATCAGCTGGAGCCCTGCATCAGTCAAAGACGGTCTCAGCTCGTCCATATTTCGCGCTTGTGCAGGTACCGAGCCCACTGCAAGCTCGATGCGCTCAACGCTGTGGGAGTCATCGACCGACACCAGCACAGTCAGATCCGCAGCTACCGTCAAGTAGAGAAGATTCGACATGCCCGCCTTCTGTGCACCTGGCTTGTCGAAACCGCAGTTAGACACGGTGAGCCAAGCGTGGCAGCCACAGAGACAATGCGAACGAACATGCTACATCATGCTACAGTATGCTACACTTGCGAGGGGAGACAAAGACCTTGTTTGACAAAGACATGGACGTCCTTCGTCTGAATGAACGTGAGGATGTCCTGCCTCACAGAGCCACAAGTAGTCGAAGTTCAATCAAGATCCTTGAGTCGGTTCATGCATCAGCCTCTGCAGAGCCAGTGTTGCCATCGCCCACATAGGTCCATGCTTTCACCTGCGAGAAGCATGCAACCTCTCACCTTCTGAACTTTACTGTTCAACTGATTACTCCTGCCGGCCTCGTGCGGCCCGTGCGGCGTGCTGACTTGAACAGGCCTTCGAAGGTCCGTCGACCACGTCAACTCAAAGATCTTTGAAGCTCGCGCACAGAGGAGCAAGAGTCCATGCGAGCGGCATCTGCACCCGATGGTACAGAGGCGCTTCTGAGGAGTCGAGTGCGGTCAGCTCCCTTTGGCTGATAGCATGGACGACACCGTGAACTGGAGACCTCAATCGAGCCGCTACTACAGGCCTCGGGACTCGACCTGGAGAAAAGTGAATCATTTGCTGAGGCCATGTCACGGCCGCAGGATCGGTGGGATCTGCAATGTGACGGATATTCGCCTGGCAATTAAGACCAGGTCAAAGGCAGGGCACTCAGCTGACAGCGGAGTCGAGGAATTGGCAAAAGCAGGCTCGTTCATGCCGTCTGCCAATGACCTACAATGCGACCCGAACCACAAGCTGCTAGTGACATAGACCAAGCATGTAGAATTTTAGCACAGGTAAGGCCGCCAGGCCTGTCAAATATCAGCTCATGATGCGGCAGCAAGCCCACCAGGCTCTTGAAGGGATGGATGCCAAGAAGATGCATCTTGGCCTGAGCGAGGCCGGTTTGGCATCTGGCTCTGCGCTTGCAAGCTGCTATAGTGCCTGCAGTGCAGGTATCGCACACCGTCCCTGGTTATTACCTGAGGCTTCAGCCAGGCCCATGTTGGCTCCGTACGCGAAGGTCCACACTTGGTCATGGCCTGCTGGTACCGTTTCTGTCGGAACAAGCTTAGCCTTCGATACAAGCCTCCGCCAGCATTCCCGAAACTTTGCGCCTTAACAGCAGCGGTGTCAAGGTATGTCAAGGCCACAGCTTGTTTCTCTAGAAGAAGCTTTTGACGAGCTGCAGTGCCGGCAGCTGCGTGGAGCCAGTGCTGTCTCAGCAGGGACGGGCAGATTACAAGGTGATTCGAAGGAAGAGTTTTGCGGTTTGGCGTAAGGTACCAGCAGACTGGTGACGGCATGCCCCAGAACGGTCGCGATCTCATGGAGCATCACCACTCCAAGGCTCCAACAAAACGGACCCGTTGAGACTGTCTCTTTAGCATTTCAAAGCCCGATGGCTTACGAGATCTGGCGTCATCTAGCAACCAGCCTTCAAGACTTTGGAATCACGTTGCCCGCTTGTTATCCAATTTGCAAGTGCTGTGCGTCCTGCTGATCCGGTTCATCTCAAACCATCTCAAGATGTCTGCACGGGGCTTGCTCTCGCTCTAAAGCTCTGAAGCATCCTGAAGCTCTTTCCGCTGTTTTCTTCTGATGTGTCCTCTTGGAGGTCAGAGTGAAACAGTTTGGCTAAACACCATGCAACACGTCACACACGCAGATTCATTCGTGCCTCTTTGGAGACTTGGCCTCATGAGCTTGGTTCGGCACGGCTTCAAGCAAGGGCGGGCGAGGCCCACTCATGCGAAAGAATCGGCGAGTCTTCCAAGATCATGAGTACTCAAGATCCTGGATCATCCACTCCAATTGCTCGTTACCCCCGTAGATTTCGCCTTGGCCGCAGTGTCACTCTTGGAGCATTCTTTTCCTGGCCCATCAAACCGCAAAATCACAGCTCCGCACGAGCTTGCCGGAAAGCTCGCAGGGTTTCCAAGTGTGTAGAGCCCCTCCTCGTGAACAAACATGGTCCATGCAAATCAGAAGTGCAGATGGTGGCCAAAGAACTACAAGTACTGTATCCGAGGCAAAAGCACAGCGCCACGTGCCAGCTTCTTGGGCAATCGATCCTGCGATCTCTGGCTGTCACAACCCAAGGATGTGGAATTCCAGATGGGGCATCGTGGCCTGCTCGTCGTCAGATTCGTCCTGTTGTCCAGAAATTGCGCTCACGTCGGAAGTTTATTGATCAAAAGCTGGCCGAACTTCTCTGTATCCTCTATGTCAGGACCGTCGTATTCGCAAAGAGGCAGACCTGAACAAATGACGAAGCACGGCATGTCAGTCAACCGTGCGGGCATGGTCTGGTCTCTCATCTTGTTTGATTCTTGGTGCCGAGCTGACATATGTGATAGGAACGTTGGTCTCTGAGAATTCCTGAAGCAGCTCGACATTTTGAAGATAGGCAAAGCAGTGCATGCACGCAACTTCACTCGCAAAATGCTGGGAAGGTGCGGTACCTTGCAGGCACCTTATCCTGCGCATGTGAAATGACTTTCCTACAGTTCCGACTGGGTCTGGCCAGTCGGCAACGCTTCGATGATAACAACTTATATGCGGCAGTTGCAAAAGCCATCAAAAGCCCAACACTTTCGGACAATTCTACTGCATGTCCAGTTTGTGGTGGACCTGGACTGCCTGAGCCAAGCCTGCCGATGTTCGGATTCACTTTGCAAAGTTTCCAGCGCATGGCCATGAGTGCACAAACACCGGTGTTTAAGTTTGCGCTCTATTGACACACACACACACACACCCACACGCACACGCACACGCACACGCGCACGCGCACGCGCACGCGCACGCGCACACGCACACGCACGCGCGAACACAGTGTTTCTAGAGGGTTGGAGCTTAGGGCACATACCCTACGCGGCCCTGAGCGATTGGAAGCCCATGTCCCAGATTCTGGCACCATGTCTCGTGGAGTTGGCAGCTTACTTTACCTTTGAACTTTGGATTCGAGGCAAGCTTCTGAGCATCCATGCCATTTAGTGGTCTAACGTACAGCGCAGCTGCGTGACACAGGCAGCGTTTCCGAACGGATTTGATTATGTTGAGTGGGTTATCGTAATATCAGTATGAACCACTCGTCAGGCATGAACTGCACTGAGACTGAAACCGGAAAGCTTTGTAACGAAAGTCTGGGTGAGGTAGTAGCCGTGCTGGTGGCAGTGAAGTTTCGGAGAGACTTTCCAAGTCCGTCGCGATCACATCGAACCCCCATTTGGACCGTCAGGAGATTGCTCAGTCAGATGTGTTTGCAACAGGCAGAAGGGCCTTGCAGCATTCCATGTAGTTATTCAAGTCCCTTGTGGATGCATGTCACCGAACGCAGTACGTGTGAACCTTCGACAAAATACCGGTGTCTAGAGGATCACACAAGTTAGAGCGAACATATCCCAAACGTGATGCCTTGTCCGTGCCAAGTCACTGCAGTGGCTTAATGCTGGCTAGGTCCTGCCCTTTTCGTTGTTTAGCAGTGTTTGCACGTAGTTCTCTCGTCAACACGAACAGCAAAGCATGGAATTCATGTCGCACGAACTGCTCCTGCCTGTGCAGCTTTGCTCCAGTCCTCCTTTCGCATCGGTCGCAGCTCCTGGCGAGGCAATCAGAATCACGCGTAGAGTCGTAATTTACTTAGCCCAACCAGAACTACCAAGCAATAGATGTGAATCTTGCACACATGGCGAGCCCCTGAGGTTTCTGGTGCTGAGTTGCCAAATTGTTGCACAGTGTCTGTTCTGCTTTTTACAAGCTAATTCTCTGCAGCTACCTGTGAAAGAGCATGGCAGAGATGCCACCATAAGGCCCTCGAGCTCAACAATGAGGTGGTTCTGCCTTCTGTAGCCGCCGGTTGGCAAGCTGCATGCTAGATCCAGGCTGGAACATCTCGTGCACCGAGGCCCAAACGTTGTCCATTTGGGAAGCTGCACGATGCGATGCGGCATTTCTGTAGTGACACATCCATCAACGCAAGGAGCGGAACGTTACTCACGAGATCAACCTACGACAACGTAGTGCAAGCACTTGCCAGTAAGCTTCGGGCTATCTGGCGTTCTGCCGATGACCGCGGGCATGCCAACGGCGCCCTCTCGTTCACAAACCTGGATGCACGGCGTTGCTTGCCCCCCCCCCCTCGTCGAGTGGCAACCGTCACTGCTGAAACCACTCGTTGAACAGATTATGTGTCCCTACCCGCAGCTGCTAGTGACAGTGCTCACAAGGTTTCTGGAGCTCCACTTCCATGGATATTACAAGTGGAAGAAAGAAGCTAGGCTTGTCAAGAACGTATCGGAAAGGCAGGCCATTTTGCTCACAAATGTGAACCTGATCAAGCTTTCGCGAGCGGGCAATCAATATCTGCCCTCAGCAGCTTAATCTGCTGTAACGAGACAAAGGAGGCCGGGGCCACTGCCACAAGCTTTCCTAAGTTGACCTGTTACTTTGCAGGGTCAGGCTTGGCTCCCAGAAGCGGCTGACTCTTCCCCTGTCCGGCAAAGGCGCGTAGACACGACATCCCAGGGATCGCAAGATCCGGTAGCTGCAATGAAACCTTCACAGCTCCGGGGCTTGGAGAGGACTTGCAAAAGTCTCACAGTCGCCTGTATGAGGGGAAGAAAAAGCAGTCGCCGAGAATGATCTCCACAGAGACCTACAGGATTCCAGCTGAAGCCGGGCAGGGCTCGGAACAGAGTCACCGAGCTCTCTGCAAGCACGAAGAGCAGCGTAGAGCCGATCGCCTGATCGCAAAGCACGGGATCTCTCTTCGCTTCGTCGCTGCCTGCAGAAGCCGAGCTCACCTCGAGCACGGTGGCTGACGGGAATGCGATGAGGATGTAGCAAAGGAAAGCAAAACGGAAGGGCCTCAGCTGAGGCGCAAAAGCCTTATGATATTTCTTGCGAAAAAAGGGTAAGGGCAGGACAGTGACACCCATCGTTCTCTTTGGTAGATCTGGCATCTTGATCAAGCTTGCACGCGGTTAACTTCCCCACCTTGAACTGAGGGCGCAGCCCTCGCGGTGTTGCATGCCACGGCACATGCACACGTGAGGAGCCCAAGACCACAAGAGAGAGCGATCTCGGTCGGGGGATGCCCAGCCGTACTAGTCCGACTTACGACGTCCTCTAGCTTGCGCTGCAGTGCATGCATCGTGCCCTGCCCTGACGTTCCCGAAAGGCTGCCCCAGGCCAGCTGGCAGGTGCTAGGCCCCCTAGGCTCCGTGCAATCGTGCTGTCCAGAGTCAGCGAAGAAAGAAACATGATAAAGGCCTCAGCAGAAGCTTAAAACACAAGCAACACTCAGCTTCGAAACACGCGAAGACTCTCCAAGCCAAGCACGTACGCCATGACCGGCGACCATCTGTTATCCCAGATCCTTTGGCACTTCTCGGAATGCGGCCGCTATGTCACGAAAGAGACGGCAAACCTCATGGGTGCTCACATGCTTGTTTTCATCCATGTCCGTGAGCAGAGGCTTGTGTCTTGGCGACCACGCCGCTCAAAACTCACTTGTTGCTATCCCATTCTGCTCAAAGGGCTCTGTAGGCACAGAACCTCACACTTTTTCCACTGTGGGAAACAAGGCCTCGTCGTGTTGACTGTTGAAGATGCAAGCACTGCCAGCTTCGACCTTTAGCCTTTGCCTTTTTCAGCTTCTTGCATTTCTGACGGATCCCAGTCGCCTCCCTCCGCTTCCAAATTGACTCCTTCAACCTTGCTTCAGTCAGTTCCGGCAGCTTACTCATCTGGAAAAACCACACTGGACGATGCGACTCCAAGCGCGGCATACGCAATGGACAAAGCCACTGAGGCTGGCATGTGACTGCGCCACACATTTGCCTCACCAGCATGCTGCCCGGGTGTTTGGGAGAGCATAAACACATCAGCACGCTCCTGTTCGGACATCTCTTTGACCCGTGACGCAACCACTGCTCACGCACGGGCTCTTACGCCATCTGATCTTTGAAGTAAGAGCGAGGAATGGGCCACCAAAACTCGAACAGGACCGTGCTGACGCGTTCATGCTCTCCCCGCCTTGGGGGCCTTTGGGGCGTGCTCGGGTACACAGGCAAGCCTGGCGGTCACGAGTCCTGCAAAGGCTGTTCCATGGCGTGCCTAGGCCTACAGAGACAACCTGGAGCCTTGTAGCTGCGGTGGAAAAACATTCTGGCGTACCGCAGCCGAGCCTACTAAATCCATTATACAGATGGACTTCCGCATGTCCAATGGGTTTGCAACCCGCTTCTCTGAGATAATGGTGTTCGGCAATCGACTTGTGAGAAAGGAACACAATTCCCCTTCTGAGGCTTCAGACATGATATCCAAGCAGAAGGCTGACAACGCCTGAGAGTCAGAATGCAAGAAGCAGATAAAGCTCAGCACTTTCTCACAAATGAAAACTCGAATGTTACCCATGCTTGTCCCATCTCTGCCATTTGGCGATCTTCACCTTCTCTTGTGGAGAAAAGGCCAGCGAAGGGGCAAGCAGTATAAGCACGTGCCTGTCTCACGACATAGTCCAAGTCGTTTGCTTCTGGCAGGGACGATGGACTTCCAAAAAAAGTAAGGCTTGCACTTTTGGCTAGCTATCCCGTCACAACTTTGCGGAACTCGTTTGATTGTCAAGTGCATGCAAGCACTATGCGTCTAGCATTAAGATGAAAGCTGTTCGACATACTAGTACAGGCCACCTAGGCGTGGGTTCCCTTGGAGACGCCGTTCTGCACGCATCCATCATCTTTTGAAGCAGAGGGAGCAAAGCTTTCCTTTGACATAGTTGTGTACCCGGGGTCGAACACTACGTCGAATCACCAAAATCTAGACTCTAAACTGGCGACAACGTTCCGTTTGTAGCTAAACAGCACCATGCTGCTTCGGGGCGTTGGCATCTCATCACCAGAAAGCCTCCAGATCAAGTCAACTCGGAGGTGGCACCTAATTGATTATGGCAGACAGTGGCAAGAGAAACGCTTCAAACAAGGCCGCTGTGCTGCCAAGTCCACTCGGATGAAGGAAGAAAGACTGGTACAGCCAAGTTCTGTACCTGCTCACGCGAATCGCCAAGTCTGCTACAGTACAAGCAACTGTCAGTCACAGGTCCGGGTGCATGAGAGGAACAGGCCGAAAAAGATACTCATCCTCTTCCAGGTAATTCCTGGCTGCAACTCAATGTTGGCGCATCAGAGCCACGGCAGAATTGAAAATGCTTTGTCAAGCATAGCGCCCTGCTTCTGTCAGAGCTGAGGCAAGCTCCGGCTCTTGGGCAGCCACTCACGGCCAGCGAGATCCACCACCTGATTACAAAGAGGCTTCGCACCGCATGGCGAAGGGCGCTCCGCGTGCATTTGGGCCTGGAAGTCTGGATAGGAGGGGTCCACGTGCCTTGGCGCAAATAACGGTCTTCAGGCTTTGGGCACCGCTATGCTCCGCTCTGGCCCACTGCAGGGCCCCTGCAGGATCACTTCGCCGGTGAGCGGGCTTCGCCTCAGCAACACATCGCATGACCTCGCAATAAAGCAGCCCATGCGACCAGCTGCCGGCCTGCACTTGCCCATAAGCACCGAAGGTGGCACTTGCTTCTGTTCGAGCTTGATGCGCAAAGGAAAGCCTCGCGGGCTCAGGACCGAGAGGGGCAACTTCGGCCAGTCCCGTAAGTAGGCTTGCCACCATCTTCGTGCACTTGAACTTGAGGCTCTTCTTCGGCCGCACACAGCCTAAGAATAGATGTGGACAGCCGTTCCACCCTCCCAATCAATGCCTTTGCCAGAGTATGTCAGCCGTATGTCAGTCACGCGGCTCTTGCTCCGGATCGTAACTCCGTGAGAAGAAGCGCAAGTCCCCGGTATGGACATGGCCTCGCAAGCCGAAAAATGCACAAGACATGGTTGCTTTGCCAGGGCTCACAAAGGCTGCCATCTAGGAAGCAACAAGTGCGTCCATAGTGTCGCATCGCAACTCATCGTGCTCTTTCGAATGCGCTGGTGCACTTTGACGTGCCAAGGAACCGCCAGGTTCCGCGGACCTGCGATGCTGCTGCGATTGCATGTGACAATCTGGCATATATAAGCTTTTACGTGACCGACAAAAGCTGCTTGTCTCGGTCGCTGACCAGGCATCTTTAACCATGGTCTGTGCTCAGTGACCATGCAGATGCATCATCTTCTATTACGGTTGCTTAGATGTAGTGAAAGACATCTGAATCTGGGAGGGCGGCTCGCAAACGAGCAAGTCTGCTTGCTCTGTATGGTCAGTCCAGATGCTGATGCTTCAGCAATTCCGCAGAGAGTCTTCGCTTGCTCGTTCTCCTTACCCGGTGTGCTCTATGGGTTTCAGCCGTAAACTGCAAGCCCACCATGAAAACGATGAAGGATGGGGCTGTTCACAGCCAAGCACGTCACAGTAGCAACGCACTTCGTCTTTTTCGAGCTTCCAGTTTCGCCGTCGGCCTAAGTAGCAAGAGAGTTGCAAGGCCCATTGAATGACAAACCGTACCAGCAAAGCACCCCTAACCTTGAACAGATAGGGCTGGCGCAATGCAGCACCAGGAGTACGGCTGCAGCCGCTTCAGCAACTCTACGCACAACACCTGACTTCGCTTCGTACTCCGCTTGCTAACGTACACTCTCGCATATCTACATTCCACATATTCGAAAGATCCCCATTCTGGCAAGGCAAGGCAAGACATATTCAAGCGGTCTAATGTGTTTCCAGATCTGCCTGCCGGAACTAAGGTCATTCGATTGACAGTACAGCGCACGAGTCTTCTCATCCGATGGTCTTTCTCAGCCCCAACTTTGGGCATCGGACGTTTCGCACCGGAATCCCGCAAAGCTCTGGACTCAGGGCGCAAACATGTCTTTGCGTCACGCCGTCTCGATAAACTCCGTTACGAAAAAAGTGGCAAGACGAGCGGTGCACCAGCTGAGTGGGGCGCTAAAGCTTAGACGTGGTGGGCAATCCCAGTGACACCTGGGGTGGCGGCACGAAGATTGGACTACCTTTGTAAACGCAGCTTTCGAGTTTGCAGCCTCAAGAAAAGACTCGATCTTCTCCCACATTTTGTCCGTCATGGCATGCTCAACATCCTTCGCAGCGATCTGCGACGCAAGGGATTGATGCACCGCAACTTTTGGGCGTCCTTCTCAATAAAGATCTTGAAATGTTCCGGCTTCCCCTCTTGCTCATATGCCTAGCAAAACAGAAAGCGCACGGCTTGGAGAAAAAGCCTCGGATGCTACGCCTGCTTGGCCGCAGCGATGCATTTCTGCACCCCTTCCAAAGGGCAGCGCGGGTCCTCATCAGGTGCCGAGTCGAGATAGAGAAAGCTTCGACGTGAGAAAAGGCTCCTTCTCGCCGTTGAGAACCAGTAGGTGTCGAGGTGCAATGCATGGAAGCGTCAGCGGCCTGGCTGGAGGCCGAAGATGGCCCAACAAAACTCTGGGTCGAGACGAGACACACGAAGCCGCTACAGTACCCCCTCTTGGGTGCTTTCTCTCCAAGGGTTTCTGTCGCAACTCTCTCGAAGTGGCCGCATGCCGGGCGGACGCATCAAAGGCAAGGGGGTTGCTGGGATCGACCTGGCAGACACTTAGACAGGAACGCATTTACAAAGGCGCTCGGCACCATACTGCTGATTTTCCTCTTCGTTTCACCGTTCTCGGACCCCTTGGACATGCCGCAGCGCAGGACGCTGCTGCACAAGCATCCTGAATCCTGACTGACTGATGTGTCCACCTCGTGAGGATGTTTGGCCGTTTTCCTTTTCCCCAACAGCGAGGTCTTTTTGGGGCAGGTTCCGGGGCAGTGCTGCGGGATGCTGCGGGGGTATCCGAGAGTTCGGTGCTTTTGCAGCATGGCCAGCCGCGCCAACAGCCATCGGCTAGGAGGCTCCATCAACGTAGGATCATCATGATAGCGAGGGTAGCATACAGCATGCACGGGTTCCTTAACGACGTCAGACTTCACCCATTGTATATCATTGCTTTGCAATAGCCAACGCTGCAAGGCAGCGACACGATACGCGCTGGATCGCACAACGGCATCTCTTACGGATGCTCCTGGTACGGTAGTGAAGGCATGTCAGATCATGTCAGCATCGGCTTCAAGAACAGGAGACGGGTTATATAAGAGCGTTTGACAAGCTGCTTTCGGCGACTGGTGCTGGTTGCGCCTCGGCAATGCCAGGAGCCAGCCGAGACCAAACAGCTGCAACCACGTCATCATCCACGGAATCCTTCTTTAAGTCTGCAGCAGCCGCTTCAAAGGCTGGTCGAATCGAGTCGACCCTGGCACCCCACAACCCATTTCTCAAAGAATGGTTGAAGGACTGCACACCGATTGCCGGCATCGCGCTGCATATTCTTGTGTCGGCGGCGGCCAAGAGCCAGCATGCCATCCCACCCAGCGACACCCCTGCTGCGCCGATGCGCTCCGGCAATACATCGGGTCTGGCACACAGGTAATCAACAACTGTCAATGCATCGCGCACAATGTCCAGGACAAATCTATCAGATGCCGTTCGCCAGCCAGCAATCAATGCTTTGAAGTACACGTCCAACCTTGCAGTTTCATGTCGCTGTAGCGTCCGAAGCAGTTCTGGGCCCAAGCTTTTCAGGGATAGATCGCAGGTGCCACTGTTGCTTTGGCCGCCCGATTTTGAGAGTCCTGCTTCTGGAAGTGCACGCTCGCCATGCCAAGGAGCATCAAAGGCTACAGCAATCAAGCCTTTTCGCGCCCATTGTTCCAGACGGTTCGCCATGAATTCCTTAGCATACTTGCGGTCGGGAATAGATCCTACAACATTGGGAAGTAGTGTAGCTGCATCTGCCACTGGGTTTGACGCCTTGCACTTGCCCGTGGCATGCATCAGCAAAGCAGCAGGTAACTTCCCAGCCTCGAGGCAGGCAAACTATGGATCAACACATGCGGCCGATCAAATCATTGGCGCGACCTCTGCTTTTCTCTCTTTGCGCATGCAGCCTTGAATGGATCGGAACCTTTCTTCTGGACCCCTGTCGACCCCCACTGACAAGCCACTGCCTACTCTTTCGCTCTCGCTGTGTCCTGCATTCCCCACTGCTTTGAAAAGGGGCAGCTCGCAGGCAAATCCAATTGGGCATCAAGGATAACTACTGTAGGATAGCGACCATGACGACGATGATGGAGCGACATCAAAACAATCCTGACAGTGGCAAACCGTGGCAGCAACTGATGCACGAGGACTTGACAAGGAAATTCAATCCAAGCACCGAATTCATTTGCAGTGGTTCCACTAGGCGCTCGGCCAAGTGCAGGGGTCTTGCTATCAGCACGGTAAAGTCTCCTGCACACATCGAGAAGATTGGACAACTACGATGCAGTCAGCAGTGCCTTGCGTGGCAGTGGAAGTGTTGAGCTTGACTTTCTCCCACAGTATCGGATCACCTGCATCCGGACGCATAAGCTGGAGCTGAAGATGCTTCTCAAGCTGCCAGCCTGCTCCGAAAAGAGCTGCTTCTCTTCTCTCCAGCAGCCTGCCACTGTGTTCGTGCTCCACCCACCCAAAGAGCTCGCCTCACTTTGAGTTTTTACCCAAGCAAGGTGACCGGCTCACCCGTGGAGGTGCTTGGGATGGCATGGCGTGATGATATTCGTGTGATGCTGTCTGTAGATGTCAGGTTGTCTCAAGTTGGAGCGAGGTCTGTTGGCGCGGGGCTGGTCGGCTCTTAGGTCTCTTTAGTCTCCAAGCCTTTCCTAAATCAACATCTTGGGCGCACGGGGCAGGGTTGGCGGAGCTGCTGCTCCTCGTTTCGGGCCAGCGTGTTTCCTTGTAGATTCCAACATGCCGGCCTAAAATAAAACCCTCTCGGTGCTTTGTGAGATCGATGCGATCCATTGATAAACTACAAGGGGCTCCTTTCTACCCCGATCTTGTAACCCTCTCCGTGGCACAGCAGTCCGCTGGGCGCGACCCAGTGCAGATTCCAAAACACCGTCCGCATGTCTGCCCTGAAAGGATCACTCTCTCCGTGGATGCGGCGTTTTCGCATTCTTCGGTAACTGCGACTCATTGCAAATTCCTGAAACGGCTTGCATAACGCGCTGCTGCGCATCCCACCATTGCTTGCTTGAATCTCTGAAAAACCGTTGGTCTGGGAGTCTGGGGCCTCCAAACTCGAGCGTTCATACAAACAAGTGCAGCGCGCGGAATGCCTCCCCAAGTCTCCTACAAGTTACAAGTACTGTAGAGTATATGGGTAAATACACGCAAGGGTCCGGGTAGATGAGCGAATGGTTGCATGGATGAACCGATTAACGGCTAAATTGCATCGGAGGATGGACCGATGGATGAACATATGAATGCGGGTACCCACACCCGGTCTTTAGTTCAATTGAGCAGGCGAGGCGTGGCTTGGGGCGGCGGTGGATGTAGCAGCACAGACTCCTCTGCCATGGGTCACCAACGACTTCAATGATCTTCAATGTGCCAACGCGAAGCTCCTCGTCGCATCGCCGCAGCGAAGCCAGCAGTGCTTTGGCGCGAGCATCACGCGCGGCGCGTGCTGTCTCCATGCTCTGCTCTGGAGCATGAACTAGCCGCCGCAAAACCTGATCGATCTCTGATCTCCTTGTCTGAGGGTGATGGGACGGCTGCGCGCCGTGCGCTGCTTCAATCTGGAATGGAAATGGCAAAAATCTGTAGGTGTTTCTGTACCTCGAGCGAAAGCCCGTGACAATACTTTGTCGTAAGCATTGTTGAACTAACTGTGGTACTTCCAACTCGGACACCTGTCTTGACCCAGCTGCAAATAGCTGACAAGCGTGTAAGCGATCATTCTGTGACAATGCAAGGTTTCGTGCAGTGTGAGTCGGCACTGTACGCATAGTTTCAAGCTTTTCCGCTTTGGAGCACGGTGCAGCCTGTGCGCGACAACGATAACTTGATCAATCCTACTCTTGACTTGTGCCGCTAGAATAACCCCCGAATCTCTCTGTATTGGTTCCAGACACCGAGCTTCCAACTGGCTCGAACGGCCAATAAATCCGCTGTGAGACAAAGGGCGAAGCAGGAGCAAGAGCTGATGTGTACAGAAGAGTCGCAGTCGCGAGCAGCAGGAGCAAGAGCTGATGTGTACAGAGTCGCGGCAGCGAGCCTTGAACTGGTTATTGGCATTGGCACTCAGACTTTCTGCACACCACTGCTCCATTCTGCTTCTTCCTGCTGCCCATGTGAAACTCCGGGAGGGCTAGCCGTCTGTTTGGAAAACAAGGCATGTGAATTCAATCAAAACTATCCGCATCCCGGGAGCTTTCTGCACCGCCTGTGCTGGGAATCCGTGCCATTGCTGCTCCAAGTCTAGGCAGCACGCCATGACATCACGCCTCTCGATGCTCCCAAAGCTGCTGCAAAGGCGGCGAACATCTTTGCCGCCTGCAGGAGACATGCTTCTGAGCTTTCAAGACAAAGCCCGAGGTGCTCACTGAACTTTGCGGCTTCTTTCGAGGCTTCGGCATACTCTGGAGTTGCGCCGAAACCTGGGGCCAACCCCAAGCACTCAAACGCGGGGGAAACAAACCATACTGAGACTCCGTGCCCTGCTGAGCAGCGTCATCGTTCCAACCTACGGTCACAAATGATGCGAAAGCCAAACTAAACCTGCAAGCTTGGGCATTGCAGTCAAGCCGAAGATAGCAAGAACGGCTGCTTCGGGTCGGGATGCCGGGTGCTGCCGCCGCTGCGGCCTTTTGCTGTGGCCTCGCGACGAACGACATGCCCACAGCTCCCCATCGTGACATGATTCCAACATGCAATCGCAGACCTGGGGTTTGCCAAAACTGCCCAGATGTGCTCCATGCCTGAGCGTTCCAACACATATAATATACGTGGTGGAACTCTCCGATCTGCAAAGCCTCTCTGAATCAAGAACCGCACGGACCGCGTCTGCACGCCGCCGCGCAGCAAGTAAAGCAGCCTGCATCACCGTTCTCTGAGCTTGGTTTTGGAAGCTTTGGACTTTTGTGCGAAGATGTCGAGTGTTTCCCGTCTGGCGGACCCCAGTAGAAGGTTTAACTTGGCACCTGCTGGAACCTCTTGTGCTGGAAGCTTTTCCGCGAGTCACTAGAGTCAGGCGGCTCGCGCCTCGTTCAGGAGGTTGGCCAAGTCCGCACCGCTCATGCCCTTCATTTGGCTGTTTTGCGAGCAGCTTTATCTTTGATTACCCCATGCCTCTGTCCGTCGTGCGAGGAGTTGCACGTCCAGGTTCTGCCAGGTACGGGTAGTTGCTTGAATGCAGAAATGCCGCATCTGATCGTCTGCGTAAAATACCGGGTGAACTGGATTGAAGGCAAGATCAGCCGGTGCCTCAGTTTTGAGCTTGGCCGAGTGGATCTGTAAAGTCGCCTCAGCTCATAGGATGCCGTCACAGCTGATCGCATCTCTCTGGGAGTCCCAAGATCAGTGCTACTCTCTCCGAGTAGTTCGGCAAGTTGACCATCACAATGCGGTCCAATCGGCCTGGCCTTCGAAGCTGTGCTGCTGACCCGGCCCTACAATCCCCGCACTACAAGTACAAGTTCTCACCCTCTTCGCGGCCTGACCAAGGCCTCATCCAGGCAGTGATAACGATTCGTGGCCGCGATGGTCACAACCACAGGAGCCCCTGCGGAAAAGCGCAGGTGCTGCAAGGCAATCAACATGTCAATGTGCATGTTTTTTCAACGCCACTGCGAAGCTATGCAAAGCACGTTGGCTCTGGCAACTACTACGTAGTACGGTGCGATGCTGCGACTTTGGCAACCCAGCAACCGAGGTCTGCAGCGGCCAAGCGGCCGCGAGCTGCATCATACCCAAGTGCCCTCACGCGGACTCGAAGCGCTCTCAGCATTGCCTGGCACGGGCACAAACTGACATGTCTTGCAAGCCTTTGGTCACTCCATGCCTGTGGTTGCGCGTTCTGCCGGGGAAGCATCCTGCAATCACTTTCAGCATCCCCCGAAACCCTCCGGTATCCTCCGGTCGGACCTCGACCACCTCCTGGTCAAGCTGGCTCGCCGTGGTCGGCACGACGGGCAGCTTCTCGGCACAGACTTCTCTCTCGTGTCCGGTATTCCGAATTCCTTTCCAAGCTGCCTGGGGCTCGCACAAGCAGTGCACCGTCGAGCACTATCCTCGGAATTCCGGCCTGAAGCAAAGCAGCTCACTGAGCCGGCACTGTTTTGATGTCCGCTCGCTAGCTCCCGAGGCGCAGGCTGAGCGGAGGGAGAAGCCCGCATTGCCAAAGATGCCAGGGTCATGACTCGGCGATTCGTGAGCTTCGTGTCGCAGGCAAGAATCTGTTGTCATGTTAGGGGACGGCACAGCAGGCTGACGCCTTTGTTTGTTAGTTTATTGGTCTTCTTGGGAGACGCTGTGGTCGCTTGGGGCCGTGCATCTTCGCACCGTGTGCAGGAGTTCCAAAAATCTGCAGTCGCAGCAAAGATGTTGCGAAGCGGTGACAGCAAACGTTTGCGAGCCATGGCCTGGAACAGATTCAGGAAGTCCTAGACAGCGCGCCATAAGGGCTTCGAGTTTCCAGATTCGTGTGACTTGGCAGGGCGCCTGGTTGGGCATGCCCAGACCATGACCGACCTCGATGTGGCAGACGAATATTAATGGACGACAGCCAAATAACGATGGTCGGGGGTCAGACTGCAAATTTCCAGAAGTCTTGGACGTAGTGTTGGCAATTTGCTTGCAACAGGTCATAGCCTGGGCACTTGGGCACTGCAGCCGCTCTGCTCGACTGTGTCGACATCGCATGCATGAGGCCTGCGACTGACTGGGCTTTGGCCAGCTCCTGAAGGCATAGGATCAGGGCCCAGGGGGAGCAGAGCTCTATGGCCCGGTAAGGCTGGTGGCCTCGCAGTGAGCCACCGTGGGCCTCGTGCGTGGAGACTTTAAGCCTATCATTTTAGTCTTACCACTTGCGCACGCAACGAATGCTACCCATTATTCTTCTTCTGTACCTCCCTTTCTCGTCTTTCTGTCCTTCGGCAAGCTTGCGGAGGGAAGCCCTTTTTCTACAAGCAAGATGGCAACACAGTGCTGGCATCACGACTTGGCTTCAGCAAAAACAAACCTAGTCTATGTGGCATCATCTCTCAGCGCAACACACATCAAAACAGTGAAAGACAAGCAATGTATTTACAGCCAACGTCTCCGCGAGGAGGATACAACCAGGTCCCGGCCTTCACTTCCGGAGCAAACAACCCTTTCTGCTGGCCGTCTGCCAAAGGACAGGGGTCTGCCAAACATCGGGTCCCCGCCCAAACTGCGAGCAAAGTCACTTCCCACTTTCCTTATTCCTTCCTACCTTTCATTGCGTTGAAAGTTCTGGGTATCCCTGACCTTCACGCTCTCATGCGACGGACTCGGCATTCTGCAGGCAGCAGGGGTAACCTCTGCCCTACAGCCGTGCTTTGTAGGTGCTCCCCTCGAAGTGACTGTCCCACAGCTGTTCCTCTCTTCCGTGCATATCTTCCTGTCGCTCTCTCCCTCCCTGTCTCTCGACGTGTGACAAGAAGAAACCTCACTCAGCTGCAGACCCATTTGGAAGCGTTCGCTCGGAGAACAGCTTTGCCCTCGGCACAAGAGTTGCAAGCAGCAGGGATCTGAGGCCAGGCGAGGGTGACGTCTAGGGTGCGCTTGAGGCGTTTCTGTGAAATACAGAAGAACAAGGAAGTGCAGCAATGACTTTCACCTTTTTCTCTGTGGCCTGTTTTCGTGCCCGGCAGATTCGATGCAAGGGGCAGCTGCAAGCACTGCAAGTGCTTTGGCAGCTCACGCCAGGCTCTGAAGAGTTCTTCTAGCCTGCCATCAACTGGCCTGCCCTCGCCACGAGAACGTTCGCGGAGTCGTAAGGAGGAGAATGCGCATCAAGAGCACTTTGAGGCCAGCGTTGGAGTTCTGCTCGGATCCAGCCTGTATCCCCGGAATGTAGCTGTTCCAGGCTCTTCAGAGATCTTCATCAGCATCCAGCATCCCAGGTCCTGATGTCGAAAGGGGCACCCGGTTGCAACACAAAACAGTTCATCGAGGCATTACGTGTGAAGAGCTAAGCCAGTTTTGGCGTGCAGCGCCCATGGTTCATGCTTGAAACAAGCGCCCTATGAATCCTGGAGGCCTGAAATCCTGATTGGGGTGCTGAGAAATTCGCGTGCCAAATTCGGGACATGTTGGGCAACGTTCGGACACTGCTGTTGAGAGAATGCAAAAAACTTCTCGAAGGAAAGGTACCCCGAGATTGGAGAAAGGAGGAGAGACACTTCAGCCGCTTCAGCCACACACCCACAAGTCCAATGCGTGTGGAACGACAGTTCGGGGACGCCAGGCGCATGGTTGTGCTGCTCGTGGTGCTGCTTGTTGCTATGATTTAGAAAGATACATTATGCCATAAGGCCATGCTACTTGGACTAGCTCACACAGCTCTCTACGTTGCGTCATACTCTATTCCATTGCAGTTCTGTGATACAGTGGGGGTGCTTTGGGGTTTCATGTCTCGTGGACTGGGCATTCTTTATCCCTACCGCCAAGCCCTAGACATGCCTAAACCCGAACCTAGCAGCCCTAGCCCCCAAACCCATGAGGCCCTACATCCTGAACTGATAAGCCGTAAGCCCTGAACCCTAAACCGCCAAAACCCCCCAGCCGTTATCCCTAATTATATGTGGTGGCGGACAGTTGTTGTGTTCCTGGTCAGTTGCTCAACTTTTGAAAACTACTCTAAAAACAAATGTTTTCCCGGACACAGTAAGCCCCAAAAGGACGTGTTGGTCGACGACATGTAAGCCGATGATGTTGGATGGTAACACCCCATTACTGTCACACATGCTGCTCGAAAGTGGGGACCCTTAGACAGTTACTAACGAACGAACATACTTGTTGGCAAACTTCAATTGGCAAGCCCGAAACCTGGAAAGGAGACGTTGGCTAGCCGACTCTAAACTTTCATCTGCCGGTGGTTGGCAAAGCTCGCCGTTGTTGGCAGGCCTAAACGAGCATGATGGTTGACAAATCCGAAACCGAAATTGGTGACAAAGCCCGAACTTGATCGGGGATGTTTTTTGGCAAAGCCGGAAACCTCAACAACAAGAAGCAACCTGAATGACACATCCCAAAATCTTAAAACGAGATATTGGTTGGCAAACCCAAACCCTAAAAGGAGAAACTGGGAAGCCATTCACTGCTTTCTTGAGCCAATTCGCGGCTGTGTGCCAGCACCTTTCCTCCTGTGCTGGATCCGATACACTCTCTCTCCCGAAGCCGACCACCGATCTGAGACCGGTGCCTGTCTCAAATTCCGCAGAATCAGCCAACTTCCAAACCCTGGACTCTTAAACCACTCTTAAACCTAAATCTGCAATCGGTTCTTGTCCCTTCCACCACCAGTCCCTGCAACACCCCCGTAAGGCACCAAACCCGAAACCAACAACGCTCCTAAACAATTGTAGTAGCCGCACACGCTTTCCCTTCATGTCAATCACACCACTGTGGTTGGACAATCCCAAACCTGAAAGAAGATGTTGGCTGGCAAGCCCAACCCTAAAAGAGGTTGGCTGGCAACCCCGAACCCTAAAACAAGACATTGGCTGGCAAGCACACCACTTAAGAGCAGATGACAGATGTTGAAGGTCGTCCAGCAAACTGCAAACTTTGAAAGGAGATGTCAATGGGCAAACTCTTGACGGATCCCTAACTGATCTTGGTTGGCAAGCCCCGAATTGGTCAACCATCATTTTCTTTTCGGGTCTTGGGTTTGCCAAACAGCATCTGGTTTCATGGTTTAGGTGTTGGCAAATCCCAAGCCGACGCTGGGCGGCAAACCCCCAAAAGGATACGGTGGTTCACCGACTCGCCTCGCCATTCTAGGGCCTCCTGTTTCGAGCACCTGAGAAGCTGCTATGTGCAGCTTCCAAGCCCTGGAACCTTGAAGCTGTATCCGAAACTCTGAACCCTACGTGGGCGTTGCTGCCGCAGAGCCTGGACTCCTGTGCAGACCATGTCTGAATTGTCTGAGCTTGTTCCCGGAATTGTTGTGCCATTTTGTGAAGTGAACCCCCTGTTTTCTAAAACTACAGTAGGTGTCTGAAAATCCGTCTTAGTTTGCCGAATTTCGGGCGCGTTGCCCCGAGCGTGCATTTCGCGTGTGTTTCCTGTGTCTATGATGACCCTGAGTCCTGAATATCTGCTCTTCTCAACTCTTCGACGCAAATTTTGCAAACAGGGGGACCTGGTCGCCTGTAATCCTGTATATCGTCTACCGGGGCTCCAGTGCATAATTGGTTTTCTCCCACTTGTGGGATCTTGTGGGCACTTCTCCTTCCGCCGAAAACACGAAACAAGGTCGGATTCTGGGATGTCTTGTGCTGCCATTGGTTGCCTGCGGGGTTTTGTGTTGGGGGAAGTGTTTGCGATCGGGGCTGGGGCTTCGGGACAAAATCATCCGACATGGGAGTTTTTGCAAGGTACTGCACATCGTGTGCGTGCGGCGGGCATCTGTCATGGCGAGAAGTGGACACAGGAGGCGACAATTACGACCAAATTCGCGGTGTCTAAAGCCTTGAGGGCAAGGATCCCATTGGGTCCAAGAATTGGACAGGCTGCCCACCACCGGTTTTGGCGTGCTTGTTCAACGCCTCAGCAAACGTCCCAACTACAGCGAACACATCGTTGGTCATGAAGGGTCATGTCAACATAGGCGCTCTCTGAGCCAAGGCTCATGCTGCATCTTTCTCATCTTATAGCCATCAGCATCAATGATAGGCAGCCATCCCTCGTCGCGATGCTGGAATCCCTTTGGGGGTTGCTTGCCTGGACAAGACTTCGAGAGCTTGTTGCAAACTCGGGAGACGAACTTCTCGACAGACAGCTTCTTCTCACTGGCAAGCCGGTAGTTCTTGTACAACCTCAGCTCAGGCAGCCGGTGCTTGAACGCTTAGCGGAGGGACCTCGCTGAGTGACATCTCGGTCATGTCTTCGCGATGCTCGTCGAAAACTGCACCTGCCACTCGAGCCGCTCTGCATTTGGCTCTTGAAGCCTTTGCTTTGGGATTGTACGCAAACGAAGGTTGCGAATTTGAATGGATCTGACAGCATGAGCTTTTGCACCCGGAAGCTTGCTGCACCGACACATGACCACGGCCAGCTGCTCTCCAGCAGCAAGACTATGCAAAACTGGCATGCCAAGTCTTAAATTGTGTGGGGGTGGTGCATGACACAAGACCTGCGTCTACAGCGTTACAGCTGTCCAAACGATTGTGAGGTTTAACTGTCGCGGACAGACGCGTTTACTGTTTTGGCAAACGACCACCAAAACCAAAAGGAAAACCCTATACAGCCTATATGGCTTTTATCTTTTATTCATGACTGGAGGACACAAGGTCTTCGCGGCCATCTCGGGGGATCTCGGGGAAGGTGGGCATCACAAGCGTGACAGGCGCACTGCATGCATGAGCAATGGTATTGCATTCTCGGCGACACTCTCCAAGCTCGCCCTTGCTCTCAAGAGTCAAGCTTTCGGACGCCTCCTGCATGTCTCCATTCTCTGCACACGGCAGCGCAGAACACACACGAGAATCTACGATGCTCACTGCGCTGATATCATATGCTGCTTTCGCCGTTCAATACGCGGCACCCTTCACCGACAGCATGGTCCCAGTCCCAATCAACACATTATGCCGGCTACAATGACATGAGCAATGCAAACTGAAAGGTGCGGCCACGAGCCTCCTGGACGATGTCATAATGGGTCATCCACTCGCCTCGCATGTCTGAAAACAAGTGAATCTGCCGGCCTGCGTTCTTGGCTGGGATAGGTCTTGAACTCTCACAGACCTCCGTTGTCATCGGGATCGCAGATTGTGCTCAGAACGTCGTCGATTTCCAGTTCGCCAAGTGTTCCTAAGTTCCATTCTAGCAACAAGCTGTATCATCAGAAAGACAGCCAAAATACCAGGAGCCTTCAGTGGACTATGGAGCCCTTGCCTCTGCACTCAGGGTCCCTAGGGCCCTAGGTCAGCAAAACGCGACACGATACCACACGCCTTTCCAATCTCTTGCGAGACAGGTGCCGGCTGGAAGTTCAGAGACCTTCCGAGCAACCTGAGTCCTCGGTGCCCACACTGCACACACACGCCTGTAGCTGTTTTGTCCTCAGCTTGAGGGTGTCGCCACGCTTCGGTCGCGGCAAGCTTACCTGAGTGACGCGAGGAGGAACTTGCCGTGACATCTTCTGGAGCCGAGCCGAGTAACATGAAGCGCATTTGATGTAGGGCTCACTCTTGGCAAGCCGGGTCGGCTTCTTGCCCACGGCCGCTCCCATGAGCTCCTTGCAGCACGTGGCTTTGGCTTCACGTGAATTTCTGTCCAGGAGTCTGAAGTTCTGGTGTCGCCATGGCTCTGGTGGAATGTTTGCCTCTGCGGGAAGCATCCATGCCAGGGCCGATTGCCATAGAAAGCACCACATGGCCACGGGGATTCCACCCTATGCTAAGTCTAAGCCTAAGTATTGCAAGCATCGGCGAACATGAAAAAAACATCAAACGACGGAGATGACACATGCCAGTTTGCAATGTATCGATGTCAACCCTGCTGATCCTGCGCCTGCACTGAGCAGCTCTCGACGGATAAATGCAACGAAGCAGACTTCTCAAATCATGAACCAACAGACCTGAAGCTTTCGTCTGGGCAAGATGCTTGCCCGCAGAAATAAGCTTTGCAGCTTCGGCCGGAGCCTGGGTCAAGCGGCTTCAGCCCTGCATGCGAGGCTTGTTCAACATTGCCCAGCCTTTGCAGCAGCAACCGCCGCAGGGGACACACCGCCAGCTGCTGCACCATTCCCGTGACCTCAGTACAGTACAAGCAAACAGGTTTGAACAAGTCTCAAAATCTTTCTGTGCAAGCCTGGCGGGCCACTGCCAGCACCATGTCGATGAGCAAGATCCTGCGCTTGGTATGATCTCATCATTACAGTCATACCGAGGCATACCATTTCTTTGTACCTAGCCGACAGCCAGTCCTCGACAGGCATCGCTCTCCCTTTCAGGAATGGAAGAATGGTTCCACGGTGAAGATCTTCCACCTTTTGTGCTGTTCAACGTGAGGATACTGAACAGCGCGTTCGGATGCAAAGCACACTTTGGCATCACATCGGTTCCTTTTCTGAGGGGCTCCGTAAACCGAAAATCGTGCAGAGTGCAACTTCGGAGCAGGCGCGCCCTGGTCCGAGTTACTACCGCCCTACATTCCCCTACCCGGCCTGCGCTCCGAAAATCTCTACAAGGGTGGAGCTTCAGCACTTCGCGTCAACCACCCATGGCACGGCCACCCCATCTCCGAGTGGCAGAGCCACTTCCACCGACGTGCTTGTCAGCGGGTTCCGTCTGCTCTTCCTTGCGTGATCGCCTCTGCCAGCTGGAATATCCATTCTGCCGAGAGTCTCCGCGACTGCCACTCCAGCCTGCTTTCGCTCCTGTAGGAGTCTCTGCAGGCCATTCCTGCCGTGCTTGCTCCCACTCTGTCTTGCGGAAGACCTGTCCTGCCTGGCCAGAGTTGCCCTTGTGCCGCTTTGCTGCGACTATTTGGGCGTCCCGCTTCGACTGCTGCTGACGAGCTTCCGCTTCCGCCTGCTCCGTGTGCATGAGCGACACTGGCTGAATCATTGGCTTGGGGTAATCCCTGCCGTATTGGAAGCCTGATGGCTTTGACTCTTTGGCGGCCTCTATCTGGGGCCCTCCTTGCAAGGATAATGCCAAAGCATGGGCCAGCTCCTCATCTTCGGAGTCATCCACCTGCTGAGCATCCTTTGGATGTGCCGCAGTCCTAGACTCGTTGCTGTGGCTTCCATCCGACAGTAAAAACGCAGCTGCTGCATCAGGGTCCTCCCAAGTACGAAACAAGGCAATAGCAGCGTCCTTCTCGTCAAAACCCATGGCGATCAAGGCCTGCTCAATCCAAAAGGTCAAGCAGGGCACTCCAAGGTCATGTCATGCTGCCATGCTATTAACTCCAGTAAGCCTACTCCAATGGCTTCAAGAGGGGGGCCGTCCCTCAAAGTGTGATGCCGCCATTTCGGTGTGCTCAGTGCCGGTCGAGAAAAAAGCCAGCCAACCAACGGGTCTGCTTCCGCCACAGCTTGAAACAAGGCTCACGCGGAAGCTACACGGCTACACGGGTATGATTTACGGGACTGACTGCACGAAGGCGCAGTGAGTTAGACTCTCCATTTCACGGAACGTCGGCCATTTTAACTTTGAAGGCCCCGCCTCCAAAGGCTGTCGAGACACGCTGAATTGGCCTGTCGGAGCTGGTCTCAATCCCGAAGAAGCGGAAGAAGCGGGACGTCCGGGTCCGTTCAGGCCCAAGCGCCAGGGTTCCCGTGCAACCGTGGAGGGCAATGACTGGAGTTCTGGGATCCAGCGCTTGATGTACGTCGCATCTGGATCGTGCTGTGTACCCCATTTCAGGATCTCAAGCGATCCCAAGCACTCGCCAGGCGAGCGCTTCTGCCTAGCAGCGGGCAGGCAACGGTAGGTCCAGTTGTACCAATTGGCCGTGGGCTCGTAATCAATCAAAACAGACTCAAACCACTCTGCGGCCATCCGCCAGTCCAGGCCGAGATCCGCTATCAAAAACCATCCGGCCGTCTCTCTGCCCATGTGGTTGCAGTAGCCGGTAGTTTTCAGCTCTCGCATGAAGCAGTCAATGAAAGGAAAACCTGTGTTTCCTTCTGTCCATGCCTTCAACTTCTGCCGATCCAAAGACCAGGCCCAGGAAGGCGAGACATTCTGGGGGCCACCAATCTTGAAGATTGAGGTCCCTGCATAGATGCTAGCAAACCGCACAAAGTCGCGCCACAAGAGTTCATGCACTATCCAGTAAGTTGACTTATTCTTTCTCCTTTCCTTCTCATAGCGCTTCACTTCCTCATAGAGCAGTCTTGGCGAGAGGCATCCGTGGGCCAACCACGGGGAGAACTTGGACATGGCTTTGTCGCGCATGCAACTCTTTGAGGGATCCATGGTCATCGTGGCTCCCACGTAGTCCAAACCCAAGGAGTCCTCCTCCCATAGAAACTCTCGCACGCGAGCCAAAGCTGCCGTCTCACCGCCCGTCCACCGCAGTTCGGCACGGGGGTCCTTCGTTTCACCGGGATCCGTTGCAGCATCGTAGATGGACCCCATCAGCTGCGGAAGCTCTGGGAATGCATCGGCCCGCTGCCAGGCGACAGAGTCCGTGCCACGGAACGCAGGATCTTCCTTGTGGCTGGGGCGCACGTAGCTTCCTTCTTCCACTCGCTTCCTGAACGCAGTGTATGAATTGAAGGCTCCCCGTGGTGCTCGAGGATCGAAGGTTAGATCGTCGTGGTGATACAGCTCAAAACCCCAGAAAGTTGAGAGAGAGCCCCTGCTTCGTCCCACGACTTGCCTCACCTGGCGTTCGACACGCAGCTCTTCGCTACAAATCTCGCGGAATGCAAAAACTTCTTGAACGGAGAAGTCTTGGCACAACTCTTCAAAGCAGGCTTTTGTGCTGATGTTCGTGCGCACATTGAGTCTGTGACCCACAGCTGCGAGTTTTGTGGCTACGTCATTAACCGCCTCCAGCTGAAACCGGTTTCTGATGGGACCGGTTTTGGGATAGCCACAGAGCCTGGTCTTTCCAGCATGCCAAAAGGGATCGAAGACGTACAGATGCAAGACTGGTAGACCTTTGCTGTGCGCAGCTTTCAAGGCAGCATGATCATGAGTCCGCAAATCCGTGCATTTGAACCATACTACATTGACCTTCGTCTTGGCGGACATGAAAGGGATGGGACCGGTGTTAAATCTCGAGCCCAACAGTGGCTGTAGAAAACGCAAGGCAGTACTTCAAGGTAGCCCCTGCTTGCGAGCCTGTGATTTCCGAGCGCAGACCTAAGCGAGGGACCAGAACGCGGCCATCATGAAGCCGTTCAGAGACAAACAAATGCCTTGGGGTATCAAAGTTCTGCAATGCGGTCCTGTGGTACAACGAATATGCGGGTGAACTGAGCCCGAAACCCTTTGTTCGTTTTCCACATTACGAAAGTATGATCCTGGGCTGCAGGGCGACGGGGTGCGCCAAGCTAAGTGCATGACAGTCATGACAGGACCGTCAAGAACATAATTACACAGCAAACATGTAAATTCGATGCCGTGAGGCAAAAGATTTCTTTGCAAGCTGAGACCCCAGCCACACCGCTGGGTATGTGGTCAAGGGCCCCCCTGTGTGCAGTTTGCAGACAGCGCCGTCTGCAAACACCATCTGCGTTAACTTTGGCATCCATCCGACAAGGGTCTGACATCACCGAGGCATCTTCGGCGGACGTCTTCTTTCCCACGACCAGACGCGCAGCATCTCCAACCTTCGACAGTGAACACACGCGGACCCAGACGCCGAGGCTACGGCTACAGCAGACTCCAGATCCGTGCATGTTGCGTGTGGCTGCAATCGATGCTGGCTCTGAAGATGAGGTTTGCACAGAGATGGGTTCGACCTGCGTAACTCATCACGCATTGCACCGGCCATGAGCTGACCCGCCACACAGATGAGGCAATTGCCCAAACCGAAACTTCTCCGGCATGCTCTGGCCAGAAAACCTGAGACACAGTGACTACTGCAAAAGGAACGAAGGGGCCTCCACACCGACTTTCAGGCCGAGGGTCCAAGACCAAGTCGAAGCCAGCCATCGCCCTACAACGAAAAGAGACAGACCGCAAAGTGCGAAACGGAAAGTGCACTTGGCTCCTCATGGCATCAAGAAATCGCATCGCTGCCCAGTCGAAGCGCTGTCCTCCAGACTGTCTTGCTAAGCGAAGCATCCCTGAGACGTGAACTACTGCGCCTGGACTCAGGGGCCTTGGCACCCGGGGCCGAGCCTTTGCCAAAGGTCTGTCAACGGATGCTAGCTACCTGTAGGAAGGCATGCAATGCCAAGGTAAGGGAGCTACCACCAGGAAGGCATCTGCCGTGATGCCGGCCACTGTTCCTCTTGTACCGTCGTGCAAGTGATCACAAGCGCGAGCAACATGTGTCTTGGAGGCCCCGCCAGCAGCTGCTGCACCGACCATGGCAAGCTTGCTGGCAGATGCCACAGCCGGGCCTGCTCCGTCAAAACCCTGTGTCCGTCGTACGCAACACCTACGCGAAGGCTCGCCTGCGCAGGTGCACACCTCAGCAGAGTTTCAAAAGGATTGCTTGCTTGGACCCGGGACCGAGGGGAGAACTTTTGGCCTGCTCCATGGAGTGTAATGGAGTCAAATCGCGCCACCCCGGACTTTTTTCTCGAGCAGCCCAAGTGCACACCGGTGCGAAACAGCAGGAGTTTCAGAGCAACTACATAACTACGTGTTGCATGTTGTGGGATATCTAGGATATGGTGCCAGTGCCGACAGAGAGACACCGTTTGACGTGGAGAGCGTTCGGGCGTGCATAGATGCGAAGAGGAACCAAAGGAGACATAGCACAACGAAGATGGCCGTAAGTCATTCCAGAGGAGACGCGGTTGAATGCAGATGATCCGCCACAGAATCTCTACTTCCAGCCAAAGATGTACAGTATTCTCCAAAAGCCACATGGCGTTCCTTCCTGCCCGAATAGGGACATGCTGCATCACAAAGTACTACTGGGTATACCCCGCTGCTTCAACCTGATGGTACGTGTGCGTTAAGGCGCCGCTGCTACTGTTCGCTACAGCCAACATCTGATTGTGCAAGAATGAACCAACAGAAGAAGGAAGCCATTGTGGATTATGGTTACATGATGTTACATGTGCTAGTCTCGGGTGGCACCCTGAGAACCTTCAGCCGATATGCTGTGTGTCTCCCTACACCTTGAGCTCCAGGCAGCAGCCCCAGCCGTGAAAACGAGGCAACTTCGAGACGCCTGAAGTGGCAGTTTGCAGGCTTGTTCGCAGCTTCCGCTTGCAGCACACTGCCATGCGTTGAATCTTGAAGCAACGTCGAGACTCCACCCCCATTTTACTTCTCATCACGGCCGGACGACGGCGCCAATAGATGCAGGACCGGGCTCAGCCTGTTGCCGAGCCATGCGTTACGAAAGGCTGTGCGCTTTTCTTCCATGCTTCGCATGGGATCAGGAGTTGTTTGCATGCTTTTTCAGCATAAGGAGATGACATCAGCATTGGGCGAAAAAAGACTTCCAAACGTACGTCCGGGTAAAGCAAGGATTGAATTCAATCTCACGGCATCACTCGAGGCTTTTGAAACGGGTCGCACCAAGCCCTTTGAGCTCATGGTTTGACGTCTTTCCCTTGAACGCTGCAACGGAACAAGAAGCCGTTTACGTTGAACTCCAAAGAATGAAGCTAATCATACTGGTCCTGGAACAAAGGTTGTACCGCCCTGACAGATCTCAACTTGGTTTGTCATCAACTCAGAAGAGGGCGTGTAATAGATAGTGCCCGGCACCGTTTCCAAACTCACAATGCCACTGTCGTGATTGTAGTTGGGCTGCTGCTGGATCAAATTCAAGAGCCAATCCATGCTGGTTCTCAGATCCGGGAGCGGCTTGTAGTCGGCCGGCAGGTTGAACATGCAGACTCTCACCAACAACTTTCTCGGATTAGTTGCCTGTTCGGTGTGGATGCTGATTTTCTGCTCGGTCAAGCCGCTCTGAGACATTAGGACACTTTTGAATGCGCTTGTAAGACCGGCAGTCATGTTGGTCGGCTCAACACGATATTGCCCTTGGAAACCCACACAATCATAATCCGGCCCGGAACACTGGCCCCAGTCGTAATAGTCCAAGATTCTGTTGCAGTTGTATTTTGGGTCGGTCCTGCCCAAGACGGACTGCCATGTTTGACACCGAACGAGAATATCCGCATCAACCCCACAGGCTTCCGTGTTCACGTTGCCTGGAGGATTGCCATCACATTTCTCTGCCAGCCACGTCCAAACGCAGGATGGCTGAGTGCCCTGCAGGACCCCCAGATACTCGTCACAGCCATTGGCTGGGTTCATGCGTGCGCAATCTTCTGGAGCTAGAGGCTGAGAATGCCCGTGCACAACACGCCTCAATTGCAATTCTTCTTCCAGGCGCTTAGGAACTGGAATGCACGCCCTTTCCCCACTGTCTGGGTCTTGGGGTCCAAGAATTTCACCCTGTGCGCACGATGAGAACATCCCACCAAAGCTCTGGTAGCGAGCATAAGCAAACTGCAGTACGTGTTGTTGTTGGAGGTTTGTGTAGTACTCGGCCGTCGCAGCGGATGCAGAAAGATTGTGGACACTGTCATTGTATCGTGCTCCCTCATAGTAGCGCGAGAGGTAAGCGTTCAAGGTTTCACCCTCGTCCGCATCGCCTCAGCTTCGCTTCAAAGCAACACTGTTGCAAAACGCTGCCACATCTTTACTTGCAACACGGACAGTTTTGAAATGGGCCGATGCACAGGAAGACACGAAGGAGTCTTGGCTCCAACTCGCAGGCTTGAGGACGATCGGTGGAGACTCGGCGGTCCCACCCTCGTAGCTGAAATCCTGGTTACTAGCGTTGGTGTTGGCGGGTTGGGGCTATCAACAACTTTGCTTCGCAGGTAAAACTTACCGCAAGTATCAGAGCATGCAGTCCTGATACCCTCCGCACAGGGCCATTGCCGCTCCTCTGACATTCTGCTCGAAGGGCATCAACCAGTATACCAGCGCAAATGCCACGAGCCCTGTGTTCAATGCAGCTGTCTCAGTTTGACGTCATAACTTGCTGTTACCGTCGTTTAGCATATATGTGAACATACTGTGGCACACCAACTTCGGTTCTCTCCGATCGTCGACGTGTGACGCGACACCTCTCCTGTCAATGTGTTCGGTGCCCTCAGGACTGTGCGCAAAACTCTGTCGTTCAAATATGTTCAAATCAAGCCTACTTGGATTTCATTGGAAGCCCGATGCCCAAGTCGGAAAATTGGTGCAACTTCCTGGGTGTGCTCATCAGCTTCACTAGTGCGCGGCATTCTCTGCATGTGTTCTCTGCATGTCTGGTGTTTCGTTCCCCTAACCGGGGTTGATCATGCGGATGACCCCACAATAGCCTGAGCACGCCTGGATTTGTACGCTTGTGTGTCCTTCGATGTCGTCAGTGGCAACTATTGTTTCTCTTCGCGGCGTCATGAACCTCAGTCACGACTGCCGTAAAGTTTTCACTTGTGGCGGGCCAGGATTCCTTAAATTCGCGGCCTGCCTCCTTTATTTCCACAGCGGACTTCCACCTTCCACCTCCCAGAAAATACATTCTTTCAACCCCATAGCCCCACCTGATGCTGTTTGTGTCTTCGAGGCCGAATTGCTACCACCAGAAACAGGCGAAATGCAACGGCACCCTACCGCGCCGCTGCACGGAAGGGCGCGATGTGATCGCCGGCACCAGCTTGCGAAGCGTGGCTTGTGCCCCCACCAAGCGACGCAGCAAAGTGTTCCACTCGCCAAGGTCTGTTGCTGGCGGGCCTGGTGTTGCGACGACGAGTTCCCAAGCGGTCATAAGATTCTCACTCCGCGCCGTTGCTGGCGGGCTGTGAGAATTGAGAATCTGGCTGGCTGGGTTACGACACCGGAAAGCGGCGTCGGTTGGAATGTTTCGAAACTTTGTCATGCACAGGTCCTCAGCAACCCCTATGTTCGCGTTGGCAGCCTTTTTTGGCATATTGCCACCCTTTCTCGGTGACTTGCTCCTGGCTTGGCATTGGGCGGGAAGCAGTTCACAAAGATCCCGATGATGCAGTTCAGTCGTGCAAAGGAGCGACCCCACGACGACGAGAAGATTCCCGTCCGCCTCCGGGCTTCGCGTGGGTTTCGCGCCTTCTTCAAGCGCGCTTCATTTTCCGCGGCTTTGCACGGACCTCGACCGGCTTCTAGGGGGCTTGATTATACGTGTGTTTTCGCACGTTGGTGTCGTCGGCCGAAGACGCCAGCCCGGGACCACGTACCTGCTCTCTCGTCAGCTTGCAGGACGTTCAGGTTGTCCACGCCCAGCATATGGAATGCGACGTAGTTGTTAAGCCACACCGCCCCTCAGTGCGATGTACCTCTCGTAGGCGTGCCTCGCTATCTTAAGCTTTCGTTTTTCGGACCTGGTAGCTACAGGCATCCGGGGGTGGTCCCTCCATGACATTCAGATCACAAGTTTGTGCATTGCCCCTTCCACCGTCAAGGGCATATAAGGGCATCCCGTTTGCAAAGCCGTCTTCTTTACACAAGCTTTCACCACAGCTGCTGGCACCGCTGCCGGGAGCTTGAAGTGGTCGGTTGACTTTGGTCTCTTGAGCTGTAAACGGAGTGCAGACCTCCTGGATAGTCTGGAGCAAGCCGGCATCAGCTTAGCCTTTTCGAAATGGGGTCTGAAATCACGACCGCCACGTTTCAAAAGTGTCCTGCACACCGCTTATCGCTTCGTTTCTTCATGATGTCGCTGGAAAGCATCAACTGGAACTTGACAGTTACGGTGCACGAGTTGGCTTCGGAAGATAAACGTGAACAACAACTCGGTAAGTGTACAAAGTGTTGCCAAAGCAAAAGAGAAGTGCCAGCTCTGTGATTGCGACAACCCACTCTTGCAACACCTGGCCTGCTGTGATGGCGTACCGCACCATGTCCTTGTATGGGCAGCACCTGTATCCCCTCTTCCGTTCTCCACACGACAGCGGCTTGATTTTCGGCAGGATGCATCTCAAGCGCTCGGTGAGCAAGACATCGGCGACCAGCTCGTCGACATCCATCACAAAGGCGAGGGCCACTGCGTTCAAAACAATATCAGCAAGGTTCGCTGTTTGGGCCAAATATTGGCAACCAATGAGTCCCAAGCAAACCGTGACTCCGAGCCGTGGAAGGCTGAGCAGAACCAGCGCAAGAATCCGCTTCACTCTGTTCATTCCCACTACTGTCCATTCTTCGGCTTCTCTGTCCCACTCGAACTCGGATTTCTTCCCTTCCTCCAATGCTGGAAGGTGTATCACCGCAAGAGCCTGTTCCATAGAACGACGATACTCTCTCATGATTGTCAAGACCCACATGATAATGCCCAATGTGCTCAGAAGAGCACCTGGTATTTCCTTGTAAAGGTAGGCATACATCAGCTTGTATTCTTCTTGCTCATAGCTCCACAGCTCCTGATTGCAAAGCCTTGTCAACAGGCTCTTTCCACGGACGTCATCGAATTGACTGTTTGCATGCGCTTGCTCCACTCGCCACGCAAGCATCTCCTGGATGGTTACTGGTGAGTACGGCGTGTCCAGCATATTCATTGAGATTGTCAGGAGCAGCGACAACTGCAAGAAGTAGTTGATGGCACATCCGATCACCAGGATCAGCTTCTCCACCCAATTGCTACCTTTTCTGAAGAAGAGCAGTAGCGAAGCATCCCACATGGACTGGTCGAACTCGTAAAGGGCAGCACTATTGAACTCGTTGTTTTCCTTCGGTGCCTCGCTGACATGGACAGCGTCGAGTTGGACAGGTTCATTGATATTATTGTCGTCTCCCTCAACCACGACTCTTCCCGCAAGGCTATCCAAGCGCTTCTCCAGCTCTCGGATGCGCTGCTGTTGCTCTAACAGCTGCTTGCCCTGTGCTTCCACTGTGGCAGCCAGTGACGACTCCATGTTCATGTTGTTCCCCTGCTCAGCTGAGATTGCACTAGAAAGAGTTTACCAGTAGTTCCAAACACAAGCTTACATGGCTGACATGTTTCCTTCGGCCTCGTCTCCTTCAGGCATTTCGAGGCCGCGGCCGGTTGAAGCTGGTCCAGGCATTGGCATAACGCAGCGGCCTCTTGCCTTGCCTAACGCCTAACCTGTACACGAAACAACTAAACAACTGCTCCTGGTAATTGCCGATTATGAGAAACAACGCACCTTCGACTCGCAGAGCCTACACCACAGCTGTTCAGACGATTTAAAACAGATGGAGGCTGTGAGCCGAAATCAGGCGGCCACAGGCACCTTTCAAGCCTGAATGGCAGAGACTGAGATCATCAGGACAACGGCAACTAATCGAGCAAGCTCGTGTTCTTTGAGTGCACGATGCCTTCTGCGCTATCCACTTTGACCTGTCCAGCATGCGGCACTACGAGTGTGACCCGGGTGCTGCGTTGCCCGTCCTCGTCCGGTCTCCTCTGCAATGGTGGGCCGTAGCCAGAAACGGTGCAGTCAGCGGCCTCGTGCACATGCGATGGAGCTCAGAGGATCTCTGTTCAAATCTCGTGAGCAGCTGACAGCGACTCAGCGGCAGCCATCCAGGCCCTGGAGAGATTTGCTCGTGCCCTGTGTCACTGCGAGAGAATACGAGAGGAGCACCTTGCCAGGTTGTCGAAAAACGCTGACTGGCGCTCCGCCTGCATTCAAACTGGACGATTCACAAACATCCTGACACTGAAGCTGGCAGAAACCAGCAAAAGCTCTCCTCTTGGCTCCGGACCGCTTCGTCAGGCAATCCGCTGCAGTAGTCAACGATGGAGTAGACTTGCGAAAACACTGGGCCGTAGACCTTGCAGCCTCAAAGCAGCAAAGCAGTCACTGCCCACGAATTTTCTTACTGTTGTGGGCTGTAACCCTCCCTCGCACCATCTCAGGTTGCATGCCCAATGTGTAGTAAAAGACCAACCGCGAAGCTCGAAGTCCGAAGAGCTGTCTTGGTCGATTCCGTCTCTGAACGGTGCTTGTCCCATCGATCATGGCGGGAATCACTGCCTGGCTCACGACATCCGTATCATCGTTGACAGTATTAAGAAGGGCCTTTGTGCCGCGTTTGCGTGAGAATGTTTCGAGTGCACACTCCCGTTGATCTGCAGGCGTGCCGATGGGAATGATGCGGGCTTCTAACTGTCTGCACTCAAGCTGTGGTGCCAGGACTGTGAATGCCCGCAGTGTGCGCAGTCTGGAGCCCGCCATTTATCCCTGCTCGCACGCTTTGCTTGCGCCACGTGTCACAGTACATCACAGTACGTAGTGCCAATTTCAGCACAGATCGCTTCTTCTTCTGCTGCTTCTTAGGCCTCCCACTGGAAGCCCACAGCATGTACTTTGTCGTCGCGAGTGCCGCATGCCTGTTTCCTGATTTCCTTGCTAAGAGCCTGAAGCTCGAACGCCTTGTTGTTTCGCTTCCGCAAGAGCTTCGGAGGATAAACGGGATCCCGCTTCCTCTTGTGAAGAAGCGATCCAACACAGTCCAAACATTGTAGAACATAGTATATAGATTTCTGGATGAACCTGTCCTGCCAGACTGGCGACTGCTCGTTGCCAGCTTGAGGAGGAGCTGTTCTTCTATTCAGCATTCTCGAGCATGCAGAGCTTCTGGGCTCGTTGGCGGCTACTGCCGGTTCGTGATGCGGTACCAACTGAGCTCGGAGCGCTCCCAAGTGACCTGCGCCTTTCAGTTTGAGGAGCGCTCTCACAAGGCAACTTCGCCTCGACTGAGGACTCCGCTCCATCTGCATCGCCGCAGCACCATTGAAAAGCACTCTTAGCCTGCTGCGGCAGTATTCGAGCCACCGGCCCGTTCAGCTATGGCTCCAACAAACAGGCTTGTCGCGCCTGGGAAATAATGGGAAATGCGTCGAAGGTGCTGAAAGGCTCAACCTTCTGCCACTGAGCCTTGACTGGTATGACCAGCTAGGTGCACAGGCATCTGCTTTGCAATGCTCAGAACCTCGCATCAGCATCAATGGCCTCGGATTTCCAGATGGCCACGCCACGCGCAAAATGAAATGGAAGCGCGGGTCGCGATCCAACCTATAAGCACTACGCACAGCCGTCAGGTTGCAAAGTTGATTCGAGCCTGTCGGCTCGGGGCTAAGCCGAGAACCCCAATAAGTGTGTATGGTGTTACTGCCTAGTGGCTTGAAATCCTTTACCTCTATGTTGAAAGACTGAGTTCCGACAATCACTACCAGTCCAGAGGGAGGATTGCATGAGTGTGCTCTAGACGGCTTTCGTCGATCGTGTCGTCTACGCTAGGGTAGCCTACTGCCTGGCCCTGATCGGCCCAGTCATAGCAAAGGACCCTGATCGGTCCGAGCCCTGATCGGCTTAAACCAGAATCAAGACCTCTTGGTCTCGAATTCGCAATTGCTCTACGGAGTAATCATCCTTCAGTTCAAGGCCTGATCGCCTAGTTGCAGACAGGACTGATGCCCTTTCGTTTCACAACAGCCGTCAGTCTGATCAAGCAACTGTTCTCCCGTGGACAACTAATCCCGCCATGGCCTCCTGGTCATCATGGTCTACCAGCGATTCCAGCAACAGCTGGGACAACAGACAACAATGGAATCGATGGGGCAAAGACGACAAATGGGACTCCAAGTACTCTGAGAAATCGTGGGAGCATGTAGCCAGCCCCACTTATCAATCTTTCACGTTGCCCTCGTGTTTTGTTTCTGATCAGCAGCACTATGACAAGACGCCTTTGGGCAAAGGTGCCCATGTGCTGCACAAGTTGGTGCAACCAACAGAGTGGTCCCGGAAAGCAGGGTTAGCCGGCCGTGATGTCAGTGACATCCGTGCCTTTGAGCTTTCCCACCGAGGCCTTGGAGATTTCTATTTCCGGTTGCTGTCGGAAGGACGGCATCAGAGTATCGTCTGGGCTCGAAGTGGCCAAGAATCGGTGCTCATCACAGCGTTGTTGAAGAAGCTTCGTGAGAGTGGTGTTTCTATTGATGAGGCAGCAAAAGCTTGCCACACTTCGGCACCGCCGGACAAACATAAGGAAGCAATGCGATTCATGGAACCGCTTGCTCAAGAACTTTTGAATTGTGTTCTGGCCAAAGCGCCCGCAACAAATTCGGATGCCTCTGAAGAGCTTGCCAAAGCCAAAGCCAAACTGGCTGAACATGGCATTGCGATGTCCCCTTTGAAGAGAAAGGCAACTGAAGATCCTGAGCCAGACTCAGAAAGAAGGGCAAAGCCCGCTATGCCTATTGCTGAGCCGGAGTCCCAAATGGAAGCCGAAAAGCTCCTAAAGGACCCTCAAAGAAAGCTGGAAACACGTCCCAAAGGAGCCACAGATGACCATGTCACTGAATGGCTGGCTACTCATAAGAACAAGCCAGAGTTTAAAGGCAAGTATCAGCAGCTCGTCAAGCATGTACAGATCGTTCAGAAGTTTCTCAAAACTGAAGCCTCCAAAGACCAATTGGTCTCTGCTGCAAAAGATTTCGGACTGGATCCGAAGCTGGCATCCCGACTGTCGATTAAGAATTTGTCCACAGTGATTGCGGCTGCACAGTTTCAAACTGCTTGACTAGCAGTTCAATGCCAACATCTTGCTGCTTCCAGCAAACAGGGAATCAAGCAGCAAATTTGTATGTTGGGAGAAGCTGTGACGTTCTTTTTGCACCACTGTCCAGGCTTCAATAAAGAGTCTGCACTTTGGGCCCAAGGCTTGCTTCATTTGCTGTTGTTGTTTTACTTTCAAGACGGTTCCCTCTCGTCTTATGCTGAGACTATTCGACAAAAGCTTCAGCATTTTCGGGTCCACCCTGCCACCTACACGTGGCCACGATTTCAATCTCAGAATGCGGTGTACATGAAGACAGTTGTGGATTGGCGCCATTTGTCAAGTATTGAGCATTACAGGCAGCCTTCCACATTTATGTACATTGGATCTACGAGCCAATCGGTGTTTCGAAGAGAGTCTAACAGACTCTCAGTCGCCAGGAAATTGGCCGGAGGAGGTGAAGCTCAAGCCGAGCTAGCAATTCGATATTGGGTGTCCAATCAGTGTCTCGAACAGTATACCATGTTTCTTGTTGCTCCGTGCTCCACCTACAAAGAAGCATGGGTTACTGAGCACTGCTTGATTGGGATGTGGCAGCCCAAGTTGAATCACCCATACATTACCTCCTTTTTGAAGAGGAGTGCATTGGGCTTTAGACCCAATGAGAGAGTCCGACACAGTGCGTCCTCTCGGTTTGGGCTAAGACTGTGGAGAAAAAACTGAGAAAGAAGCTCCACAGACAACTCCAGCCCGTTCCTTTTCAGCTTAAAAGAAGAAGGTCGGCGTGGGAGATATTGTTCAATCTGACATGCTTCAGCCGTGCCCCCTTTGAAGTGGCAAAAAAGCTGCGAAGCGACCGATATCTTCCTGATGAGATTTACTCTCTGATTCGGTTGAGCAATTGTTTGGAAGAGCCTGGCAAAAGCAAGGCCAGGAAAGTGCTACGGAGTGTTTGCCAGTACCGCAATATGTCCTGGCCCACAGCTGCTTTAGGCTTGCAGTTGAAATTCACTGCATCCTCAAGCTTTGGATCAGATGCTTCTAGATGGATCCGAAAGCTTGTGTTGGCACACAAGCCGATACTTATACCTTTTCATTTGCCTGTGTGCAAAGTCAGGGAGCAACCCCATCAGTCTCTCAAAGACTTTCTACGCAATTTCAAAGACTGGGATCAGTGGTTGCAGACTCATTGTGTTGCTGATGCACCGTGTCCTTGCAGTTATTACACAAAACAACTGCCAGAACAGTGCCTCACCAGAGGCCATGTTGTAGCGGGCATTGAGCAGTTGGGTAGCTTGCACCACTCCTTTGAAAAACTAGGGAGTGGCAGTGCATCCTCAGCGTTCTTTCCGTCCAAACGAGAGTTTTTTCAACCACAACACCCGGATGTTTGCATCTTGGAGGCGCAAACATTGTCTTCCCAAGGGTGTAGAGCAAACTTTTCAGCAGTTTCTCGAGCAGCAATGGAGCAAGCATCTTGATCACCTGAGCCAAGAAAGCAGGCTCACGTGGAAAGATGTTTCCGCTGCTCGCAACTTATTGCATC